ACCAGAACAGGCATAACCACACCAGGACAGGCAGGAACAACACCAGGACAGGCAGAACAAACACCAGGACAGGCAGAACAACACCAGGACAGGCAGAACCACACCAGGACCTCGCGTTTCTCTCAGGGTCACCTTGGCTTCTCAGCGTCCAGTCGTGAGGCCCGTACAGCGTAGATAGGAGCCTCTCTCTCTCTCTCTCTCTCTCTCTCTCTCTCTCTCTCTCTCTCTCTCCCTCTTAATTTCCTGTGTTGTTTTTGTTTTTCTTTATTCTATCTTGATCTCTTTTTATCTCATTAGTTCCTATTTTATGTGCGTCTTTTTGTCATATACATTCTGTTTCTTCATTTTCTTGTTGTCTCTCTGCTCTTGTTTCCATTTGGTTTGTATTTATTCAGTTGGTCACTCATTAGCGGTTGGGTTGTGAGGGAAACGCGGAAGGGTGAGAGGGAACGAGAAGGAGTTACACCGAATGAGAGGTATGAGAGGGAATGAGGAAGTGTGGGAGGGAGTGGGGTGTGAGTTGTAGGGAGTGGGATGTGAGTTGGAGGGAGTGGGGTGTGAGTTGTAGGGAGTGGGGTGTGAGTTGGAGGAGTGGGATGTGAGTTGGAGGGAGTGGGGTGTGAGTTGGAGGGAGTGGGGTGTGAGTGGGAGGGAGTGGGGTGTGAGTGGGAGGGAGTGGGGTGTGAGTGGGAGGGAGTGGGGTGTGAGTTGGAGGGAGTGGGGTGTGAGTTGTAGGGAGTGGGATGTGAGTTGGAGGGAGTGGGGTGTCCTTGGGTGAAGATTGAAGGGTTGCATTTGTGATAAAAAAAACTGGTCTTACCTGTTTCCACAAGCCATGTGTGAAGGTCAGCGGTTGTCAGTATACATTCCTACAGTGTTTTCTTTAATTGCTGTTTGTCTGGAGAAATTACCAGTTAGTGTTGGTGAAGGATCCCATTTATGCCTACCAACGCAACACTCCACTACCTTACACCACCACCACCTACATCACCACCACCTACTCCACCAACACCTACTCCAACCAACACCCACGCCACCACCACCACTACCACCACCACTAACACCTACACCACCACCACCACCCACACCTACGCCACCACCACCACTACCACCTACACCACCACACCACGCCACCACCACCACTAACACCTACACCACCACCCACACCCACGCCACCACCACTAACACCTACACCACCACCACCACCCACACCTACGCCACCACCACCACTAACACCTACACCACCACCCACACATACGCCACCACCACCACTAACACCACCCACACCTATTTCACCACAACCTCCTTCATCACCACCACTATCACCACCATCAATATCACACCTGTATCTATCTTGTTTTACTATAATTAATAAAATCTGTGTAGGTATACCTGTTAATTAAAGGTGTATACACATTACCTGTATTATCGTATCTGAGGTAGTGATAGTCAATGAAAATACAGTATAATATATTTGACACGACCGGCATGACAACGACAACATCTGCTACCACTACCGCCATCTCTCCATAAGGCTCACTCATGTTACCACAAGAACAGGACTTTGTTCCGCGTTGAATTCTACCCCAGGAGCACTGTATCATATTTTACTTACCTATCATAAGTGTTACCTCCTTCCAAAACGTCTCCTACCATAATCATTATCTCCTACCATGTTATTCACGCCTACCATTGTCTCCAACCACAGATGCGGGTGATGGTGGTAGTGACGATGCTAGTGGCGGTGAGTGTGAGTATGGCAGTCCCTCAACACAACCTCACTGGAGTGGCCGAGGGAAAACGACTTGTGCAGGAGGTGAAAGGTATTTAAATCCATCTGGGTGATTCATCATGAGAAACGAAGAGATGACATAAGGATCAATCAATCATTTAAAGTACTATCCTTATATCTAAGGGTTGGAGACCACAGTCCTCCACTCTAAACGTGTTCGGGCTGCCTTTACTAATCCTCCAAGATTTTGCATCTCTCTGGGAAGCCTTCCCCTGGCCCTCCTACCATCAACTTTGCCCATTAATATTTCTGTTATTATCCCCTCGTCCCTAATTATATGACCAAAATGTCTTATTTTTCTTTTTCGCTACATCTTAGTCCTGGCCATACCTAACATTTAAACATCCTTTTCCTCAAAATTGCCAACAGTGTGTAACAGAGACGTGACCGATCGCCCAAGCGGCTAACAAACCAATCAGTGATGAAAAGGATAAAAGTAAAGCATCGGTGCTATTATAATATGCAGTATACCGAGCTGGAGCTAATATATATATATATATATATATATATATATATATATATATATATATATATATATATATATATATATATATATATATATATATATATATATATATATATATATATATATATACAGTACTAAACTAAATCACACTAACCTTTATTGTTGAAGACTCCTTTCAGCATCAGAAATCCTTGAGTCGCTGGTAAGTGGTAGTAGATTTATATCGGATAGCTAGACCACAACACAATAATTCCTATATTTTCTGTTCACCACTAAAAAAAATATATATATCACTGCATTCTTCATATTAATTTTGTTCTACAGCAACGTTTCACCTTTATACCCTTATATTTTTTTCCTAGTTTGGAAATGAGACATTTTCTAAATATAGTAGGCTCTCTCTCTCTCCCTGGCGCACACCCAACACTGCTCGGCCCATCTTTTTACTTTTACCTTCATCTTCTTCACCACTGATCGGCTCGGTAGCCACTTGGGCGCTCGGTCACGTCTCACTAAGTTATTACGAGTTGATTTTTTTTTCTTGGTACAACTCCAAGTTCTCTTTCAGTTTAGTCACCTGATTATAATAAATATAAAGATTTGTACCAAAATACACTGTCGTACATGACGTCATTAGCGTTGTTTTGTGAAAAATCAGACGTTGTTTACCTTCACGACTCGTGATAATAAACACGTTTGGTGGATCACGAAACAATAGTGCCAATCTCCACCACACTTGGGACACTACGGAAGTTTGCAGAATACCATGGCCCTAGAAAATGACAATAGTGGGAACGTTGTCAAAAAAATATGTTAAATGGTTTGCACTTCCGAGACCGCACATCCCATTAGCAAGGAAGACTTAACGTCACTGAGTCACTGACCATTTAAAAGAGACTTCCACTGATTGGCTATCACGTGCAGGTGAAGTTAATAACATTCCGCAAAATTAAAACTCTTTAAAGTGTACTCGAATATATACAAAATCAATAGAAATTTCCCTGGTTGTACTCTTATCAATTCTTAACCATCATTATTATTAACAGAGGCGATCAGTGGTGAAGAGGATAAAAGTAAAAGTAAACATTTCAAGGAATACGTCCATGAAAGGTAAGCCAAGGAATTACTTAACTTTACCGCTGTTCTTTAATATAATAAATAAGAACAATTAGGTACCCACAGAAGATGTAGTAATGAATAAATTATTTAGTTACACAGAATTATCTTAAATTTACTCACAGGAACAGTTGTTATGCGTAAATTAGTAAATTACAGAAATTAGTCTAAATTTACTCACGGGAACAATTAACAATAATGTCATATCAATTAACACGACGTCTTATTAATATTCAGATGACAGAGCTTAACTTCATTCATTTGAAACACTGAACAGAAATTTTATTCATTTTTTAAGTATTCCACTTATTATTCATTATATTTCACCTCTGCTACTGTCTTGGCTACACCTGCTGGTGTGTGCATTGTTATCTTGGCTACTTCTGCTATGTACACTGTTATCCTGGCTACACCTGCGGCTGTGTAGGGAGGGGGAGTTTGACCTGATAACGCTGATACACCTGCTGGGATATTCAGATGAAGATATCATCAGGTGAGAGTTGCTGCTGATTCAGTCAGACTTATGTAACAAAACCACGACACCCACTCAGAACTTGTATCTATCTGTACTGTATAGTTGACCTCTACCTACCATGTGTTCGCATATATATATATATATATATATATATATATATATATATATATATATATATATATATATATATATATATATATATATATATATATATATATATATATATATATATATATATATGCGAACACATGGTATAAATAATTATCGTTAGGATCCCTCACGGTAAAAAGTGTTGCCATCTTAGCGATTTTCTCGCTGAATCTAGATGTTTTGACCCATCATCTAGCGGGTAAATTTGCTGTCTAGCTGCTAGCATTTTTGGGGCAGATTTAACTGATGTCTGGCGGATTTCTAGCGGTCTTAGTTATATAATTATACTTGCATAAGTATAGACAGTCAGTGGAAGGATCTCACTCTTGTGAAGTGGAATGAAGTTTCAAAAACTTTCCTGTTTTGGAATGAAGTACATAACTACATGTACGCATCATATTGTAATCCATTCAAGGAGTTGGCAGAGTTTGCTTTATCAGTTCTCGTCATACCCCACTCTAATGCTGAAGTAGAAAGGATATTCATCCAGTTACATATAGTGAAAAATAAACCGCGTATTTATACGGTTGGTCTGGCTCAAGGAAGTGAGGTGTGAAATGTGCGGGGCCAATCACCGTGCAGTTCACGAGAGAGGCCTGCTGAGCTCGTCGCTGCTTGGGAAGGCCAGAAATCAGTGAGCAGTAGTACTCCTGCGTCCGCACCTGAGACTAGTCTTGATGTCGCTGGGGCTTCTACTACCTGTAAGCTGATTGACTGGTAAGCGAACGGCAGGTGATCAGTCGGCAATTGTAGGGGAGAGTATCCACTACAACATGCCCACCGGTGTGTTAATTAGCTATACTTCTATGTACTATACTTTCTATATTTATCATTCTATCTATTTATATATATATATATATTAATCAGTTTAATTGTCTATATATCTATATACGGTGTATATAAGGAGAGTAACATGCTATTATCTGCAGTTACAATCTAGCAGGTTAGGGGTCAAATCTAGCGGTGTTTGGAGTCTCATGTAGCGGGATGTAAACTTGTAGATGGCAACACTGATGAGGCTGGTGTTTACTAGGCCAGCAGCAGAGGGTCAACAGGGCTCAAGACTTGGACTAAACTTATACATTAGTCCTTCACTCCAAAATGAAAAGACCATATTTCCAAGAGAGAACCTTGCCTGACAGGGTTGAAAAGGTATGTGGGTTAAATCATAATCTGAACTCCCTGAACAGGACGCTGAAGCATGCTCACGTAGACGAGACTCATCGAAAGTCACTTACTGAGAGGAAATTAGATGTTTGGTGCTATGATTTTAGGCAGTGGATATTTTGCAGTGATTGGCTTAACTCCTACTAGCGCTGTTTTACCGTGAGTTCGCTCTCATTGGCTAATTGTTCATGTGAGGGCAAACTTTTTCGGAGTGAGAGTTGTGAACTCTTGGAACAATCTACCAGAGAGTGTTGTGACGGCACCGAGTGTGAGCTCTTTCAAGACCAGACTTAACCAACACTGGAGCAGGTTCAGGTACATTCAGGAGCCGGTGCATGCCCAGTACTTGCCAACAGTGCGTGACAGAGACGTGACCGATCGCCCAAGCGGCTAAAGAGCCGATCAGTGGTGAAGAGGATAAAAGAAAAGTAAAAAATGATAACCTGGAACAACGCGACGACTATATTTGACCGTGACTGGCAGCATTTGGCATTTACTTACATAAGAACATCAGAAAATAAGGAGTCTGCAATAGGCCGGTTGACCTGTGCATGGCAGCTCCTTTCGAGAGTTACTACCACGCTCTATCATCCATGAATCTATCTAGCCTCCTTTTGAAACTTTCCAGAGTTCCAGCACTTGCTACAAAGTTGCTAAGCTTGTTCCACTCGTCAATCACCCTATTTGTGAACCAGTTTCTTCCTATCTCCCTCCTAAACCTAAACTTATCCAACTTAAATCCGTTGCTACAAGTCCTATCTTGTTCGGATACTTTAAGAACTTTATCTATATCTCCTTTATTGATTCCTTTCGCCCACTTAAATACTTCTATCTCCCCGCACTCTTTGTCTTTCTAGGGAATGCAAGTTTAGTTTATTTAACCTATCTTGATATGATCGTTATGTAGCAATAAATATATCTAACCATAATTCTGTTGTGCATGGAAATGGTAAAGGTGTAGAAGAGGGTGACCACCAGAAGGAATTGTCTGAATTGGATGAATTTTTTTATACACATTAATATCATGATATTGAACACAAAAATGGAAACGACAGTGCATAAGATCTAATAGAACCTGACAATATTTATATTTATTCTATCCCGCTTCACAATTCTCCTCCCGGCGCCATTTTTATTGTTTACCTCGCTGAATCCCTCATCAACAGATGTTAACTAAATATGCTTCCACTTATTTCTCCTCGCCATTGCTGATGTATATCAGCCTCAATATTAAGGTACCGTAAGTTGTTTAACACATAAATTAACACGATAATGCATAGAATCTAATAGAATCTGACCTAACATACCCATAGGTTGATATGGTATGTTACAGTTTGAGGGTCTTGTGTTTGCTGGAGTCTTTGTACCCTGTACTTATTTATGTAATTTCATTTGTTTATCACATCGAAATCAAATTTCAATATACAATACTGTACAGAGGTACCAGATATGTTTAGAATCTTTGTACTGACACAAAAATTAGTAAGAAGTAAAAAATTTTTTTAACCATTTCCTTATAAAATCCCGGTGTTTAGTTTAATTTTCTCAACATTGGATTCCTTCACCTCCCAATTTTTCATAAATTTCATTTTTTTTTTTACTTAAAGCTGTTGTTTATGCATGTAAACATGCATGATTTACGATTAATAATTTTTTATATTTACCTTACAGTATATATCTGAGAACAACTATGTTGATGTGGAGGACATGACAGAATACTTAATAAACAATTATCGTGAATTTCGAGGGAAAAACAAAAAGGCATTTATGAAGAGCGTTGAGAGAGGTAAGATTGTGTTAATTAAGTGATACATATACATCATCATTAGCTTGTGGGCTGACTTCCCAGGGTTCTCAGTATTGTACAGTATCTCTCCACCTGTGTGCTCCAGTCACTACTGTATTGCTGTTCACATGTTTCTTGGTTGGGCCAGTGTGGTGGCTTAGATTTATATCTCGAATAACTTCAGCCTACTGACTTGATTTTTGTGTGGGTTTCTTGGTCCATAAGAATCCTTTCTTGGTTTTTACCAAAAGCAAGTTGTTAGTTTATGTTCTAGGACACTTGCCCCTTGCAAATGTCCCCATACCATTTTATTTCTCCAGTAAGAAGTGTTAGTGGTTCACAAATAGGAGTATTGAACCTTAATACATTTTACCATTTTTTTTTTATATTTTTCTGAGTGGGGGGATTCTTGTGCCAGAACACTTCACTCTTAAAGCGATTTTAGAGATTTAGTGTACAAAATATGTGTAAGTAAAAAAAAAGTTAGGGTTTTGTGGGTAAATTTTAAAATACACTACAGTATCATGTAGCTGTTACTCTGAGTATACTGTATTGAGAAGAGAAGAAAACTAATTTGTTATGATTCTTCCCTTTATTTTGCACAGCCTATGAGTGGCAGGTGTACTGTCATCAACAGACTGAAGAAGACACTGATTGTGTGGACTTAGTGGACAGTGATGGAGGTGGTGCAGATATCATGGAAATCAATGAACCTGAGTCTCCAGTAAAGGTTAGTTTTTCACACAGTGTACTGTACCTACTTCAATTTAATGAGTTTCACATTAACGATTCATCACAGTAGCGACAGTAATAATATGCGGGTTCAGGTACATTCAGGAGCCGGTGCATGCCCAGTATTTGCCAACAGTGCGTGACAGAGACGTGACCGATCGCCCAGGCGGCTAGCGAGCCGATCTTTTGGTGAAGAATATAAATGAAAAGAGACGTGACCGATCGCCCAAGCGGCTAACAAGCCGATCAGTGGCGAAGAGGATAAAAGTAAAAAAAAGTAAAAGTAACACAATAACGATCAGTAACCCAAATTTATAGTCACTCTGGGCGGCCATCTTGATGACATCAGTGAGTAGGGTGGTTTGTTTTGATCAGAGCGTGTGAACGAGAGGTGTGGTGTAACCTACTCAGTTATGTGACAGCGTTGCATAACCTCTCTACCTGCGTGTGATCTGTTAGATGATTTACCACTAGACTTCACTGACTTTGAGACTGAAATATCAGTTGGTGGTGAAGCAGCACAGTGTGGAGCCAGGGGGCACTAACACCACTCCCCTGCCTCAGATGACACTAAACAGTCTCATTAAGCAGTTCAATAAGTGTTAAAAGGTTAGTTATTATTAGTTATTAACTACACCTGCAGTATTGATGTGTATGACTAATTTATTGTAATTTTTTGTGGGGGTATAGGGGGTGAAAGTGTCTGAGGGCTGGTAGCAGTTGACCCATTTACCATGTAAACTATACTCACCACATTAACGATTTTCATTCTAACGACCGTTTTCATGGTACCAAGTATTCATTAAAGTGAAGTATTGACTGAACTGTAGTGTGCACACAGAATCAAGGTGGTGTAATGTGGAGATAACTCTTCATAGCCTTGGTGTCCTTCTGTGTTGTTTTAAAGCTTACAGTACAGCATTTTTGTATTCAAGTATTTTACAACTTTATATTACTTCTCAATCCTTATTTAAAAAAAGCTAATATTTTGCAAGCCTTAGATTAATATGAAGATTAAGGATGCACTTTGTATGCTGTATGCAAATTGAAGATAGGACTAAGTGTGTGCGGGATGATGCTACTTGTTTTCTTAGGCTTGTTCTATTGTTTTATTACCATATTTTACAGCATACTGTATAAGACACTTTTGGGTCTCAAAATGGCAAAAAAAAATTCACTCCATGTCCTATATGTGAAGATGGTGTCTTCGGCTAAACTCCTGGGCAGGCAGAGGCAGCTGCTTGGGGTAGATAATTTTAATAATGAATATACTGTATGCCATGAAAACAATACAGCAAAAACAATAGCACCTTCTATACCTTCTAAATCGTCCTCTCAACCCATAACTGGTAATTAACGTTCAAGTACGTCATCGCCGATGTTACTGTCTCTGGTCATTCATGTACAGGTACTACAAAGTATTTTAAATATACTTTTCCTGCATCTTTGAAACTGAGTCTAGTTACCATAATTTGTTGGCTGGTGGTGTCTGCCATCATCCGTTACCCGGAAAATCCCGGGGATGAGGAATATTTTTTCCGGCTTTGAGAGAGTCGTCTCGTTACCCGGAAATCTCTCGTTACCGGAATTGCTCTGCACAAATTGGTCAGGCTAATGGAGATATCTTTTATGTAATACAGAGATATCTCCAATTAGCCGGAACAATTGGTGCAGAGCACTTCTGGGAATGAGAGGTTTCCGGGCAACGAGACGACTCTCGAAGCCAGAAAAAATCCCTCATCCACGAAATTTTCCGGGTAACTAAAAAATGTTCTCAAAGGTTTTAGAATGATGCATTATTTCATCTCTCAAACCCAGAAAAAAATCCCTCATCTCCGGAATTTTTTTTTATTTTCCGGATACCAGGTAAATGTTCTCAAAACTTTCCCGAAAATGTGCCCCTTGAAAAATCGTTCCCAAAGCCGGAATTTTCTGGACAATTCCTGCTTTGGGAATGATTTTCCAAGAAAATTTCAATTCCGGCTATTGGAGAGATCCAGGTTTGAGGGATTCAGGTTAAGGAGGGATATTACAGTGATCTTTTACGGCATAAAGTAAGTCTCAGCAATTAATATTACGGTGATATCCCCATTAGCCGGAACAATTGGTGCTGAGCACTTCCTGGGATGAGAGATTTCCGGTTAACCAGACGACTTTCTCAAACCTGGAAAAATTCCATATCCCCGTAATATTTTCGGGTTACTGGAAAAGTTTCCGAGTGTCTAAACTAGACCTCTTGCACACACAGACACTAGCCCACTTCCCCAGAATGTTTCTGGGTGCTGGGGATGTTTTCCTTGAGTCTAAACTACCGGAGTCCGTAAGTGTAGTTCTAATGAAGTTAGAAACTCCATTTCTTTACTAAAATAATCCAGAATAGTTTTTCAAAAAGTTTAGTAAAATAAATATATTTGAAAATTAAAAATCTTTATGATATGAGCATGACAACATGGGTAAGATATCACCTGTTACAAAAGTGTCCTGGCAGCAAATAAATGAATCATACAGAGAAAAGTGTGGCTCCTTGCTCTATTTAGTTGACCTTCTGCTGTCCATTCCAATCGGTTCTGATGATGCTGAACATGGCTTGAGTCAGGTCAAACTCATCAAGTTTCATGGCAGACTGGCGCAATTGCTCACCGATGACCACTTGATCTCATAGTGGTCTAGATGCAGTTAGAATGTGCTAGCAACTTCAATCCAGAGCAAGCCATCAACAAATTTTTAACAACTGGGGCTGCCGTGTTGATGGGTATAACCACACAGATGGCTGCAGCACAGAGGAAGTGCTGGATGATATTGAACAATTGGATGAGGAGCATATACAGAAACTAATTGACCAAATACAGTGAAGAAGAAAGCCCTCAGTTACTTGCAGTTACACATACATAGAATACAGTAGTTTCTTAGGAGGATCTAAAATTGTTTATAAATTTCAGCTACCTGTAATTATATAAAGTAAACAAGGAAACTGATTATCCAAATTATAATAATATGTTGTTCATGCCAGTGTTTACAATTTGATTATAATTTACCTTTTGCTATGTCTTGTAAAATTTTAGAAGGGCTAATAAGCTTTGGGAAGGGCTTGTAACTATGTATTTGGTTCTGTATTAGCCTGGCTAGCTACCTGTAAAAAAGGGCAAATTTCTACCCCTGACACTGAACACTTTACTAAATAATTTGATTGGGTGTTATTAATTAAATTCTTATACAACTGAAAGGTGTGTAGCATCTGGCTCTACCTGCATCATTATTAAACTGAGTCTTTCTTATAGTGTTAATTTCACAACCATGTTCATTGATTTGTTACTTCCTCTATAAACAGAGAATAAAAAGAGAAGACTGTTAATTTTCCTATTGTGCCCGACCTATAACACGTCCTGTACAGTATGGTGCCCGACCTAAAACACGTCCTGTACAGTATGGTGCCCGACCTATAACACGTCCTGTACAGTATGGTGCCCGACCTATAACACGTCCTGTACAGTATGGTGCCCGACCTATAACACGTCCTGTACAGTATGGTGCCCGATCTATGAGACATCCTACATGAGTTTACTTTTCCACACTGACCTGGCCTGTAAGCCACACACCTCGTCTATGGCTACAAATAGCTGATTGGTTCCCCTGAGCATTTTCCTGCCCCTGGACTATACGTATATAAGTGCGTATTTATATCACCTTTCATGATAAATATTTAAAAAATTTAGCACCATCTCTGAAGGGCTAATGCCTTGAAATCATTTGAATTTTAATAGTCCAGATATTTAACATTATTATAGATAATAACAGGTCTGCTTACCAATTGTGAACACATTTAGTTTGAATTTTCTTTGAATCAATCAGCTATTAGTATAGAAGAGGGGTGTGGCTTATGGTCCAGGTCAGCGTGGAAATACTGCAATAAATTATATTTACATGTGTTTTATTCCACAGTAATTGCTCTTTACATTAATTTAAAATTTCTACTTACAGGCTAAATGCCTGAACACAATTCTAAAGAAGATGTACAAGTCACCAGCACCCTCCTGCCCCTCCTCAGCACCAAAAACTCTGTAAGATTTTGTCTGTTTTTGCCCAAGGGATTGATGTATAAATACTGTACTAGTGTTGAAAGGTTATACAGTATATGATCTTGCTGTGGGAAATACCTTAGCCATTATGCAATATATTACTGTGTATTCTTTTTGCTTCATGTGAATTATTTATGTCTTCTCATTGTCTAATTAATGTGCATACTTTATTATTGCATTACCATAGGTAGTAGGCAGCTACCAAACGTAGGTACTACCGCCTGGAAAAATATTGGAAGCATAATGTATTGTCTAATGGTAGACCCTGCTGCAATATGGCATCACAAAAGTTGTGACCAGATCCCATGTTGCTGATCTGACTTTCTGCCTCATTTACACACGATTGCAGGGTCTCAATTGTTTCTCATACTATTGACAAAACAACTTACATATATTATTTCTCACTTTTGAACTTTTTTATATTTCTTTATGGTTCTTTATTATTATTATTATTATTATTATTATTATTATTATCATTATTATTATTATTATTATTATTATTATTATTACATTTTTGCCCCCAGGCCCCGATGTAAAAAAAAAAAAAATATTGCTCCACAAAAAAACTTTGGGTTTCAGAGGTTTTCGGTTTTCGGATAAGGGATTGTCAACCTGTACCACTGAAAGAGGTTTTTGACCAGTGAACCTGTAGACTAAGCTTCTCCCACTTTTATTAACCTTGACATGCTGAGTCCTGCCTCACTTTCAGTAAACAGAATGACAATGCCTTCTCTTTGGTGCTTAATACAGCATAATAACACAGTGTTTGCGCCTAGAAAGATTATATTATATGATAAATACTCGTGTGGGGTATGCTATAACGAATCTAATTGGTTCTAGAACCTCGTTCGTTATAGGGGTAATCCGTTCTAGGCCCCCAAATACAACCACTTAACAATGAAAAATATAATATAAAATTGTAAAAATTTTAAAAAGTGCATAAATATGCATTTAGACTCCTGAAATAAAGAATATCATTAATACTTGTAATAAAAAATAATAAATTAGTACAAAAAAATACTGTTCTTTATAGCATTCTCAATTTTATAGGTAAAACCGTTCGTTATAGGAATATTCGTAGTAGAATCCGTTTGTTATAGCATACCCTACTGTAGAAAAGAAAAAATGGTTGTAAATTCACTGACTTAGCAACAGCAGCCAGTCAATTTCTGTAGATTGTGATGAACACTAAAGATGTTAAAAGTATGTAGAGTTCAGGAAATAGGTCAGTTCTGGGTTATTCTTATTATGTTCTCAAGTACACACACCACTCTGTATTGTGTTTAAAATTAGTACATTATAGAGTATATAGCCACTCAGAGGTTGCAGTACAGTACCTCCCCACTCTGTCACACTTAGCCCAGACTATAGTATACTGAATAGAAATTTGGCAGAAAGAAGTAAATCATGGAAGTACAAATTCGGTCCTTGCGAGGCATTCATAAACATAAGTGACCTGTAGGTCATTCTTCTAAATATATGATTAGTGTTTCTGATAATGTTAAAATTAGATTAGAATGGACAAGTTCTTCAGAAGATGAGTCACAGACCATGGGGATGTGTAGTGTTAACTTGTTAGGTTGTGGTTAATTTGATCAACTTTAATTAAGGCATTTATTTATTTATATATTTTTTACATCAGGAAAGGTAGAGACTTCTTTGTGCTGGACAACGAGGGTGATCAAGTCAACGGTGCCAGGACTCCTGAGGTTGGTGGCCATTTTTTTCCTTTTTTTTTTAACAGTATTTTTTAAATTATAACAACTCAAGTTTGTACTCTGTTATGATGAAAATATTTATACTATAACTGATAATTTAATTTATTATCAAATGAGACAAAGATGGTGATGTGTAGGGGAATTATTGAATCACCTCTACAGTATTACATGGTTGTTAAAGTGTGGAATATGGCTGGAAGAGGGAAATATAGGCTATGAGCCACAGAGGGCAATATGTGGGGTGAATAGGATGCATCAAATAAGAAAACCAGAAATTAGGAGATGTGGTATGAAATTAGTGTTGGACAAAGGCTTGACCATAATATCTTGAGATAGTATGGACCATTGGGGGAATAAGATGAAAAAGGTTGGTAGGAGAATTCAGAGGTTGATGATGGGAAGAAGAGGGGAGATTCAGGAGATGGGGGTCAACATGTAGATTATTGATAGGAAAACATGACACCAAACGAAGGACCTATACCTGTAGTTCATGGGAAAGATTCTGCTAAGGAGATGACCTCAAATAATGAGAAAGTTGTTGATTGCTTTTGATGTCAGCTACAGTATCCTGCAAAATTACTGGTAAGGGTCTGTGTAGATTGAACTAATGTGTTTATTTTCTGAAACTATAAGACACATGGTGCTGATCATTTAGAAGAAGAGTACAGTATAATGCAAATCTAGACTGAAATAGGTAAATGTTAAATGTGCCAGTTCTAATCAAGTGTTATTCTCAGTTTCTTATTTCTACCGTGACAGAATAGTATTAAGAAGAAACGGAAGAAAGACAGGGAAGGTGAAATAGAAGATATAATTAAAAAGAAGAAGAAGAAACAGTTGCTGCCAGAGGAATCAACTATTACATTTGCACATATGGCAGGAATTGAGTCTCTGAAAGATGTAAGTTTTTAGGTTAAACATTGATTCCTTGACTTTTTTATTTTATAACTCTTTTGAGTTCAACTGATGAATATAACATACACTCAAGATAGTGTTTTTATCAGAATCGATATGAGATTTTATGATTGAGATTACACACATTGCCTACATATGAATGCGAACTCAATCTGTCTTTAACTTTGCCATCTTATTATACTGTACTGGTCACAGGAGTTGAGTTGGTGATTTAGTTATCTCTGGCATATATCTGGATCCATCATTTGTAAAAAAAGTATATGTTAATGATATGAATATTGTTATTCAGAGCAGAAAGCCCACAAGACTGATAGTTTCCATTTTATATGTTTATATACAACACAATCACTTAACTGACTCCCAGGTGTTCCATGTTTCACTTTTATCTGTTACTGTTATCCAGGCCAGACACAAAGACCTACAGTTGTAGCATTGTAAATAAAACTTCAGTAACCTCCATCAGTGAGATTCTCTCACACTCGCCAACCCCATTGGTACTGGCCACAGACTGGACTAGTTATGTTTATGTACTTTTAAGACATGATCTTGATTGTTTTCATTAATATTGTAGCTAAAAACCGAGCTGTGATCAGGATAATGATAGAAGTTTGTGGGCTATAGGTACATTTGTGTGTGTGTTAAGACACACACATATGGTACAAGACAATCATAAGCTTATGTAAGACCGAATGACTCTACCCATCCCCAGCTACCTTATTAGGTTGTTATTACTCCCTCTCAGGCAACATTTGTGAACCAAAGATCACCCCTTATGTGATAGACTGGTGAAGAAGATTCCTGAAACAGAAGTGAAGAAATGTAGACTAGTGCTGCCATAAGTTGTGAAGGTAGTAATTATATCATACCAGAAAGTGAATCATGTTCCACTGCTCAACTGATGAGTGTAGTATACCTGTCAACTATGTATCAATGTTTATTATCTTTATTCCTCCTCCACTGGGGCCAACAAGGGGTACTAGTAGAGGGTAGGTCAGAGTAAAGCCTCTTATAACAACGGTTCCACCAACAACTTTTCATATTTAAGACCCTAGTTAATTAAGGACCCAATTCAATTTATGTCCTTATTTCATTCGTATTTACGACCAAAATATAATATAAATAAAATAAAATTACATTTTCATATAGATAATAACTAAATCCCAATATGTTTTATAAAAGAAAAAAATTACTGTAAAAAAAAGAAGAGCAAGTGATGGTAGTGCTGGTTCAAAAGCTAAAAGAAAGTGAATAAGCTTAGCCAAGAAACTAGATGTGTTAAACGATATGAAAAAGGTGAGAGGGGTGTGGATATTCCGCGTGCTTTGGGGATGCCGGAATCAACCGTGAAAACTATCTGTAGAAATGGAGAAAAAATTAAAGAAAGTCTACAACTCCGTTAAGTGCAATTAAATTCTATTTAAACATAGAACAGATTACTGAATTGGCAGACTAGCCCATCAGCTGATGCTCACAACAAAACGTGTTGTTCGTAAGGATTTCATTAATTGAAGTTTTGCTCGTTAACCGAATTGAAGATCCTTATTGGAGGTAATTCGTAAACCGAAATTTCATTAATCGAACCGTTCGTTAACCGAGGGACCACTGTACTGTACATGTAAATATATATATGCTTAATAAACTCAAAAGTTTTTGTTATTGATTTTTATTTTATATTATGCCCTTGTTTCTTTATCTATTTTATGTTCTGAATGTATTAAGTAAGACAAGTGTTAAAATCTGACGGCCGTGACCACCGCGATGCCCGTGTCCCCCCTATTTACATTATTTCTTTTGGGAGAAATTGCTCCGCTATTAGCAATTTCGATATTCGCAACAAGTTTCATGCCTGTAACCTTTGCAATAAGTGAGGCAGCCCTGTATTATTATTATTATTATTATTACTATTATCATTATTATTTCATTATTTTTATTTATTATTATTATTATTATTATTATTATTACTACAATTACACTATTACTATTACTACATTTTTGCCCCCCAGGCCCCGATGTGGGTCAGTGACCTGTTCCTGGGTGGGCTAATACCCGTATATAAAAAAAAGAACACTGTCCAAATGAAGTATTAGATGTGGATAATAGAACAAATGCAATATTTATTGATTCAATATTATTCTTCCAACAGAAAATATGTGACCTTGTTGCCAATCTACGATGGCCTGGGATTCTCCAACCCCTTCAGAAGTCTGTTCTGATAACAGGACCATCTGGCAGTGGCAAAACAGCTTTTGCTAAGGCTTTGGCTGGAGTGAGTGTCGTGTTGTCCACTACAGTATTACCATTGATTATTATTTCTTCAACTTCTATTTTACCTTTGTCTTACCCTTTAGGATACTTCTTAATCTCTCTCCCAAAGCTCTCAAGATGACTTCCTCTTGCTTATTATGTTCCATTGTATTACCTGTTGTCATTTATATCTTGTGCTTTTGTTTATTTTTATTTTATCAGCTTCGTGATTCATGAGGTATTTGGTGATTATTGTATAAGAGGGAAAGTTTGTCTCACAGCCACATTACTTTGAAATTAGCAAAGGGCATTAATAAGAGTTGCTGTAAACCTAAACCACATTAGAGAGAAAGATTTTTAACCATAGATTTGTGCACTTTATGTACGTATTACTCAACTATCTTTTGCTGTTTTTAGACAGATTTGAGAAACTTAATATAGTACAGCTGATGATAAAAGTGATTTTAAATATATTGTTTTACATGTTACAGACTGTAGAGTCACCCATTCTTCGAGTTACTGCAACAGAATTAGTGGGAGGCGTTTCTGGAGAGAGCGAAGAAAGGATTAATGAAATATTTGATCAAGCAGCCTCACTTGCCCCTTGTGTTCTTCTGATTGAAAAAATAGATGTTATTGCCCCAAAAGAAGGAAACACCAAGAGCTTGGAGAAAAGAATTGGAACCCAAATGTCCTCCTGCTTAAGTAGTATGTCATCTGAGTATTTGTAGTTATTTATTCATAAAGCATTGTAAAATGATTTCTTGGTGTGGCACAATAGTTACTGTGTTACCATTGACTTTTAAGTTAAAAGGATTGAAGTTTAGTAACCAGTATATTTGGAAAACAATTTTGAACAACCTGGCCTAGAACTTGGTAACAGTACTGTATACAGCTTGTAGCTTGATTATGCAATATTTTTGTTGCATTAAATCATTCTCCAGGTGGCTCCTGTCAATGGACAAGCCATTTTGAGAGGTCTAGAACCATAAACCTTAATGACAACAAGCAGCTGAAGGCTGGTCTTCCAAAGGTCAGTCCCTCCCTTTTACAACTACTGTACTATAGTATCTCCATTACGAGGGTGAATTGGCTACAAGGGTTGCCCTCTAGAGGTAGGCAGTCTAAAAGACAGCTGTGTTTACCTTGCCTGTACACACATTACACCAGCTTCAACCTCTATCTTAATTTTAGAATCAATTAGTCAGGGGGAGGGAAGGATGGGTGTCGTCTGCTGTCTTACATTCCATAATTGTTTTGTGCATGAACAGGAGCCACCAAGGAATCTAGTTTGTGAATCAATCTTCTATTATGTGTTTCAGATATGAAAATTAAGCACAAAGACAAGCAAGTAATAGTGATGGGAGAAACTAGCCGCCCAGAGAATTTAGACTGGGACCTTCGAAGTAGCTTTGATGGAGAGATATTCATGGCTATTCCCACAGAGGCTACCCGTGCACAGATACTGCAGGTGTGTGTATGTTGTTGTTTGAAATTATTGTTATAGATACTCTCACTTTACACTATAATTAAAAGATCCAAGAGTTTATTTTATTGACTTAACTACAGTAAAACCTCTAGATACTAGACTTTGATAAATTTATTTTATTTGTTTATTTATTTATTTTTTAAGGTGCTTCAGACCACCCATCTGTTCACCAGAAATATTTTAAAATGTCCAGAAAATCCAGTTGCAGTCCGGACGGTTTGTGTGTATGTACAGTCAAAAACACTAATCTTGGGGCAGGGTAAAAGCAGCTGGACCAACACAGCCTGGCCAGTAAAACAAGGAGGCGTGTTTGTCACTGGGAATTTTTTTGGTGCGTGCCCAATGCAATGAAAACAATTTTCCAGAAAATTTCCAAGCAAATTTCAAATCCGGGTTTGAAGGATTCCGGCTAATGGAGATACACTGAACAATTGGTGCAGAGCACTTCCGGGAATGAGAGATTTCCGACTAACCAGACAACTTTCTCAAACCTGGAAAAATCCCTTATCCCCGGAATTTTTTCCAGTTACCCTGTATAATATTTTCCTTCCTTTGTATTATGTTTCAATTTATTATCTAATTCTAATTTTTTCCATTCTAAGGTGATTCTTATTGAAAAGTTTCAACATTATTTTTTCCCGCAGCTACTTTGTGAAGGAACATCATTTGCTGGAGATTTTGAAGAGTTGGCCCATAGAACCCCAGGTTATGTTGCGGGAGACCTCAAGAAGCTGTTGGAGAAAGCCCAGAGTTTAGCTTGGAAGAGGTAAAAGTGCTTTTCAATTTCTGGTGGGAAAATAGCAATCATGTTGCAATAGGAACAAAATATTTATTATGTTCATTTTAACAGTAACAATAATGGGGTATCTCACATCACACATGAACATTTTTATATGTTGATTAGTTGTGTTGATTTGTTGGGGTATTGATGTAAATTTTTCTGGATGCACTGTGTAGACACAGTGTGTGATTAATAAATGATACATTTATTAATAAAAATTAGCACAATGTGAGCTTAGAGTACTGTGAGGAGTGGCAGCTGGCAGCGAGCTCTTGCCAATCAAAAGATGGCCGGGTGGCTAACAGGCTTCACTCACTTGAACGCTCTACATCACTCATGTCGCCTCCACCCTATTATACCTCCATGGGTACCCCTCTCACTCTCTCCCCCATCCCCTCTATCTACTCATCCTCCCCCTCCTTGTCCCCCTACCCTTCCACCTACTCTTCTCTTTCCTCCTCCTCCTCCTCCATATTCACTCTCTCCCCATTTCCTCCTCCTACTCACTACCTCCTTTCTTTCTCCTCTTCCTTCTATTCTTCCTCCACTTTTCGTCCCTCCTCTCTACCTCACATGTAACTTGCACTAGACAAGGTTTCCTGTTGGACCACAGAGCATGGTTTCAAACTTTCTCCCATGAAGACCATTGTCATGCATTTCTGTTGCCTTCGAGGTGTTCACCCATATCTCAATCTACAGCTTTATGGTCGTCGTGTGTGATGTGTCACAGAGACTCGTTTCCTGAGCATTCTCTTCGACAACCGGCTTACGTGGCAGCCACATATTCGTTACCTCAAAGAGTCTTGCCAGCTTTCTCTCAAGTTATTGAGAGTCTTGGGGTGGTGACCTAGGAACTATGCTACACCTTAACCACATGCTAGTTAGGCCCAAACTGGATTAGGGGTGTAAGGTGTACTTCTCAACCACTGCAGCTAGACTCAATACACTGAACTTTATTCAGTGCCTTCAGGTCTTCACCAATCACAAGTCTACTAGTTGATGCTGATGAGCCACCCCTTGATCTTCGATGCCAATATCTCCAGGTCTAGTGTTGGTTTCACTCCACCACCTTCTGCAGTCTGTAACCAACACTTGTGTGGTTGACAAGACTATGTCCCCACACTACACTCAGCATCCATGCCTCCCAGAACCTTTCAGCTTCAGTGTAAGGGAAGTTGTGAGTATTCTTTGCCTTCCTCCTGTTCAGATATGCCCCATCTGATTCCCTAGTGCTGCTCTGTGGATTCTCCCCGAAGTTCAAGTTTGTCAGTATTTTAATAATAGGAAGGACTTACTCCCTCCCTGTGTGGTTCATTCTCTTTTTTTGGAGCATACTTCCTCTCACAGAGGGACTATCCCTGTTTATACTGACGGCTCTAAGTCAGATGCAGGGGTGAGTTCTGTTGGGATGGTAGTCTCCACACAATGGCATCTATTTTTACTGCAGAGCTGTCAGGTATTTTACTTGCCCTCTAGATTATTTTTACCCAACCTCATCGCGATTTTACATTTATTAGCGTTCTCTTGGTGCTCTGGGGAATGAACGTGCTGATGCTGTGGTGAAAGTAGCTGCTTTTCGCCCTGTGGCACATCATTCCTTTTTACCTGCCTCTGATATCAAGCCAGTAATAAGAGCCGCTATCCGCTCAAGTTGGCAATGCAGGTGGGAGGCTGTCGGAGCAAACAAGCTCCTGCATTGGGTGTCTGGGAATATCAGGAACTGTCGCACCGCTGGGAGACTGCTTTGGCCTGCCTCCGTACTGGCCACACACGCTGACTCATGGTTTTTTAATGGAGAGGGCGCTTCCTCCCCATTGTGATAACTGCCTGGTCCTATTGACTGTTCGACGACACCTGGTGGTGTGCCCCAGGCTCAGATATCTTCATAGTAAGCACCTCTCCCAGTGCCAGGGGGAGATGGGTCTTACCGTCTCTCTTTGGTGCTGGCGGGGGGAGTGGGTCTTGTGGGAAGAGACATCCTTTCCTTCGTGGAGGAAGCTGGCCTTCTACTCAAGCTTTGAGTTTTATCTCTTAATGTTAAAATGTTTTTAATTTTTTATGAAAGTTCTATGTTAATTGTTACTTATGTTTGTTTTTTTTACCTTATTATTTGATTTTAGTTTTTTTTAAGTATATTTTAATTTGGCAACATATGACCTAAGCTGTTGCATTGGCCAGGGATATAATTACTGTACTACAATCAATCAATCTACCTCTTTTGCATTCCCATATATCTCCCCCCTCTTCTCCATCTCCCTCATTCCCTTCTACTTTTCTCCTCACCCTCCCCCTCTCTCCTCTATTTCCCCTCTTTTCTCCTTATCTCATTCTCAACATCTCTTTCCCTACTCTCTCCCCTTGTTGCTTCCCATTTTTCTTAAATATCCTCTCTCCCCTCACCTCCTTACCTGGTTCTCTTCTCCCCCTTTCATCTCCCCACCTGATCCTCTCCTCTCCATCTCACCTCCCCACCTGATCCTCTCCTCTCCCCCAACACACACACCCATGCTCTTCATTTTTTCTTGTTTTATAGTTTTATATTATATTTTCTTTATTTCTAAACTACATTATATTACAGGTATATATATAATTATGTTCTTTATGGGTGATTTAAGGGATTTTCAAGGGTAATTTTGACTATACGCAGTTTTGCCTTTACGCGCCCTCAGAATATAGTGACACTACTGTACTGTATATACAGCTGTATATAGTAATGGGAAAAAATTTTGGCAGAAAAAAGGACTCCTTATATGGGAAGACTGAGGGGATGTCTCTCATGGAGCAACTGAGGAGTTTCATGAACCAGTTTGAGGAGATGTGTGAAGCAGAGGAAGTGAACACCATGGTCACCATTAACATGGAGGACTTCATGGAAGCCTTGATGGTAAGACAGTAACATTTGTGCTTGGGTTGTATATGTGCATGTTCCTATTTTAATTAGTTGGCCATCACCTTTTTCCTATAGTAATGATAGATGATATTAATTGCATATTTTTTTACTGTAACGAATATGTTCTGTTACGGTGTCCCCCAGGAAAGAGCTCACAAAAGTGAAAAAATCATACTGTATTGTCAGACATAATGATTTACCTTATCCACAGCACATCACTCCAGTACTGAAGAGAGAGGGCTTCCCCACGGTGCCTGATGTTACTTGGCAGGATATTGGTGGCCTTGAAGACATCAAGAGGGAACTTAGAGAGAAGATTCTTGTGAGTTTATATATTTTTAGATTATAGAAAAATCTTATTTGTATTAAAGTGACCAAAATGATTAGGATAAGCAGACTGAGATATTTTCTCATAAATATTTTGATATGATAAATTTAAATGAAATTACCTATGAAGGTGATATCTGGTTAAAAACTTAATCGACATACAGTAATGCCATACTAGCATTGACAACGTAAGAGTGTATGGTAATATCTTTTTTAGTTACTGTTGTCACATGAGTTTACCACCATTCACTCTGGCCCAGGAGTGAACTGAACACAAATTTAAAAGCTTGAGTGTGCATATGTATGGTAGTTTTCTGACAAACTATCATAAAATGCCAGGATTTGAATAATGTCATGATGATGTTGAGTTTCTCTATTCTTGTCTCACATGAAGTATTCCAGTGAGAAATATCAGCCTCTATATTGACACATCAATTTTGATAGTGCTTGTAAATTATAAATATACATTAATTATCTGTGTAGGTTTTAGAGTTACCATATATTACAGCGGATTAGGCAACCTTCGGATAAGACTAGGTCCAAATTTCAGTCTAAATTTCATGGTTTTAGCTCATATCTGTGTTATAAAACGACTTCCCAAACTACCAAACCACTTGCGGTAAAGTTTAGGTCAGCTACCACCAAACCACCAATATGGTGATACGTTTAATGTACGTATTAAATACTTTGAATGTTTAATGTATTACCAGTAAGTGAAATGACTTAAGTTATCAGAGAGGGATATAAATTACCTTGTGTAACCTGTGTTTGGTAGTGGTACGTTAAGGTCGATCACCCTATTGTTTACATACCTAGGTGTCATAGTGACGCAGTCAACCTTTACTCGGTTGTGTGATTATGTGATAAAAGCATTGGATAAAGTGAAAGTAGAGACTAATAAAATCTTTCAAAAAGTGCGGTATCTCTAATGCAATGGAAGATACGGAGGATGATTTGTTGTAAGACACTGACGACAAAGCGGACGCACCAGATTTGGACTGGGACCCCTACGACGACAACGTAAACAACGAGACTCAGGGTGTGTGTGACGAGCTCCTTCCTTCAGATGATGAAGCTGTTGAATTTGATGGATTTTAAATACGTGAGATTTTTTTCTTTACAATTCTACAACTCTCACTTTTTGTATTTTTAATTCTGTATCTGGCCTATAAGACGACCCCTGGTTTTGGGGTGGTTTTTTGATGATTCAAGTGTCGTTTTATCCGCCGAAGTATACAGTATTCATACAGGACCCAATGTGGGTCATTGACCTGTGCCCGGGTGGGCTGAGCCCTGTAAAAAAAAAAAAATAACCTAACCTAACACATCTGGCCCAAAGGTTTTCACATAAGGGGACTTGGTCACAATTTTTGTGATGCCACATGGCAGCAGGGTCTACCATTAGACAACGCATTATGCTTCCAATATCTTCCCAGGCGGTAGTACCTCCCTGTTTGATAGCTGCCATCTACCTACTGCGGCTTGTGTTGTGTATGTTTACATATCTTGTATAATATTAAGTGGAGAAATTATTTTTCAACTTTGGGTCAACAGGAGCCTATCCAGTTTGCTAAACTGCATGAAGAGTTTGGGGCAAGTCGACCCAATGGTATCTTGATGTGGGGTCCTCCAGGGTGTGGCAAGACTTTGCTGGCTAAAGCTGTTGCCAACGAGGCTGGGATTAACTTGTTGCCTGTAATGGGCCCAGAGCTCTTAAATATGGTGAGTACAAGTAGAGAAACAAATCAAGTATTTCACTAAATTATATATATATGTATATATATATATATATATATATATATATATATATATATATATATATATATATATATATATATATATATATATATATATATATATATATATATATATATATATATATATATATATATATATATATATATATATATACATACAACCATAGTTGGCACTAGAGATAAAAAATCTAACTAATGGATATCCACGGCTATTAGATGGATATCATTAAAGTGAGGTAATTTGATCGTATATAGCAAATTTATGACCATCATTAAAACGGAATATCGCTTCTTGGGATATCGTATATCAAGGATTACCTGTATACAACTCCTAGACTCATTATATGGGTCTAGGAGTCCTAGGACAAAGAATGCCAATTGCCAGCCTTTATTGTGAGAAGCTTCTTAGTTATAAGCTCTGCCAGAATAGGGATATTAGCACTCTTGTCTTTGGGTAGGTCAGTATCAACACACTAGACTGTACCATACGAGAGATAATGTTATTTGGTGCATTAGCATTGTAAATGAATTATATACAAACAGTTTTATATGAGTAAACACGATAAAATAATTATTTTCGTGCTTAAGCGCGAGTAGAACACAAAGTTTTTTTACTCTTAATGAAAATGTTTATGCATCACTTTATACCTTTGTTATTTTCTGTGATTGCAATATGAAACTTCTTCCACAATAAAGCCTAAATACAGCATTAAACAAATAATACTTACAGAAGAAATGTGAAAAAATTTATATTTTGCTTTGCATTTCACTATCAACATCACTCGCAATCACATGATCATAATCATCAAATACTGTCATCATTAGTTGTGGGTCATTTCCCAGTCTCACAGTACCACACTTAGCATGAACAAGGCAATTGAATCTAGTTTTAGTGAGGGTACGGGTAGTGCACACATGAGGATGGTGAGGGGTCGGGTAGGCGAGGTAAGGCACCCAGGGATGACTGAGACGCCACATGAGCAACACTTTTTTCTTTCTTTTTATCCACAATGACATGCTGGGCAGGTCTTTTGCACTAGGACTGCATGTTGAAGGGCCAGGCAAACTATCACTTGCATTAGAAGGGCCAGGGATGCTGGGAGAGGCATCAGGGGGCACCACACTATCAATACATGGTGTAATCTCCTTGCACTTTTACGTTTTCTTACCCCTCCACCCTCGCCAACAACACGAGGCATGGTTCAAGACTCTCCCAACACTGTTATGAATAAATTAAATCACTGATACACAAGAGATCAGCATAAGTCGTGAAAAAATGAGTGGGAAATGTGGGTCCTTTAAACACAAAAGGGATACTGGTGTGGTAACCTTGGAGTGTGGTCTACATAATTATAATTGCCAAATGTGTATCTTGCATTTGAGAACATGAAATTATTTATTTTAATTTATGACTTCATATGCAAATTTGCATATGAAAACCCTAAAACGATGAATTATATCATAAGCAAATGTTACGGATGAAAACCCCAAGAGTGTTAGGATAAGTCCATCATTTATGGATTCCATTAACCAGTGAATATAGAATACCTTAGCCCTAGTGAGAGGAAAGTATATGTGAATGTTGGGATTACTGGGTCGAAGGCCAAGGTTATTATTGCTAAAACTTAATCTAAACTTTCATGCACCTATGAATGTGATATTGCTCCAATATCTTGCCTTTAGGGTAAGAAGAGGAGTCTCTGCTTTGGATTCATTTGTAATTTGTGGTATTCTTGTTCCTATATTTACATCATATTTAATCTTGAGCAACAGCTACTGCAGATCTGCACTCATTATCTTTGAAAATTCAGCTGACCAATGTTTTCTTATGATTTTGGTGTAATGTATAAAGGTTTGTAATACTGCTTGGGTAATGTCCTTATGGGTGTTCTGTTATCCTCTTTACAGTATCAGGGTGAAAGTGAGAGAGCTGTGCGAGAAGTATTCAAACGTGCACGCAACGTTTCACCATGTGTAATCTTTTTTGATGAGTTTGACTCGCTTTGCCCTGTCAGAAGTAAAGGAGCAGAGGTGAGTAGAATTTTATCTTCTTCCTTGCTTACAGACTCTTTACCAAGCTTTTCCCTTAATATGAATTTTCAACTATTTTAACCCAGTGGTGTTGACTGGAAACATTTCTTTTAAATAATACTCAAGCACTGTTGTTGTATGGGAAGAATTTTGCACTTGTTTTAAGAAACAAGAGTATATGAAAAAGTACCGTAATTCACTTAAACAAATAAATATGGACAGGAAAACAAATGGAAAATATATAAAGACAGAGATGTTGATATGTGTGCTCCAAAAAACGATGTTCCATTGACTGTTGGTTCGCATAATCGACAATGACATATAGGGAAAATACCCTGCAAGTTTCGTTGATACCCCGGCGATCAAATGATTGGCAGAGCTGTTTTGAATTTGGCAGACAGTGGAATGGTGTGAATTATTGCCACCAAAGGGCTCTCTGCACTGCCCTGACTCATTCCCATTATCTTTACTTTTGTTTACACTTACTGTGTTTCTCTGACTTTGTGCTTTTTCGTCATTTCCGACTTAGTTTGTTACTCAATCATGTCTTAATGCCCCAGTAATAGTTCCTCTTTTGCTGGGCAACTTGATGTTTTGTGATAAGGCATAATAAGAGTGGTGATGGACCAGCAAAGATTGGTAGAGACTTGAACTTGCCACCCTAAACTGTATCTACCCTCCTCAACACAGGTAAATAACAGTCTCAATTTATGCTTTACATTGCTTATTTAAGGCTTATTAATTATGCATGCTTTATTTTCTTGCTTGACAGTGTGCAGTACAGAGATATATCAAGGGTAGATGGGAGTTTTTGGAGGGTGGCCGGTCCCTAATCCACTGAATTTGTCTTTTTGTCACTTATTCATCAACCAACAACTTTTCTGGGCCCTATATGCGTCGGTTATCGGGGCACACCTGTATAAAGGAGCTGGATGCTCATGGCTGTAATAGAGATTCAACTCCTCAGAATAACTGCTGTAACATAATCTGCCATTTGAGATGTATGTCATGGGGGAGTTACAATTGGTTTTTGAAAGGTTTTAACAAATTAACTCAGGCTTATGTTGGGAGGTGTTGTTTATTGGCCTCAATGGCCCCCTGTAAGTGACTTGGTACTGTATTATATAAACAACCTCACTAAGGACTACTAAAAAAAAAAAGTCAAGATCAATCTTCTATATTGAATTGTTCAAAAAATGTACAGAAGTTTACAATATTTAAGTCGATCCATTGGCAACCAAGTCCAAGTGGTCATCTGGCTGTTCTTTATAGATTAATTTTATGACCTTCAAGTATAAACAGTATAATTCCAAGTAAAACATATAAATCCTATCATAATTTAATAAATTTGTTTTGATAGAGCGGCAGTAAAACCACCATAGTGAACACATTACTGACGGAGATGAATGGCTTTACCAAACGAGAGGATGTTTATGTTATAGCAGCCACCAACCGTCCCGACATCCTCGACCCAGCAGTAACACGGCCTGGAAGATTTGATACTCTTCTTTATGTTGATGTGCCAAACCATCTGGGAAGAGTATCTATTTTTCAAGCACGAACAAAGGTAAGATCATTACGTGATATAAAAGATTTAGAATACCTGTAGCTGAATAAATTTTTTGGTATAGATTCATCCAAAGGAAGTGAGTATAGAAGTCAACACACAATGTCATACTGTATAATGTTGTTATGTTATAACATTACTACTCTTTAGGTATCTATGGTTCTGACAATGTACCTGAAGGGCTACGGGTTTTGTCAGCAAGTTACATATATAAGTCTCGTCAATCTGTGGTTTGAGTTGGAACAAATTGCAACAGAAATAATTTTTTTTTACTTGCTTGGCACTTCTAGCTGAACGACATATAAAACGTAGAGAGAAATAAAGGTAATGGAAAGTTATCTAATTTGCATATACAGTGGTCCCTCAATTAACAAAATTTCGGTTAATGAATTAGCTCCCATAAGGATTTTCAGTTCCATTAAAGAACAAAAATTCGATTAACGAAAGCCTTACGAGAAATACTCTTTGTTGTGTGCATCAGCTGATCAGCTAGTCTGCCAATACAGTAATCGGTTCTATGTTTACATTCATTTCCAGTGGAGTAAATATCAAGAAAGTTGTATTCTTGAATATTTTTGCATTTTTTATATTAAAATTATTGGTCATTCTAAAATTTAGTCGTCTAAGCTCTGTCTACATAAAGTTTATTAACTAATATTTTTGGCTCAATATATGTAATTTTATTCATTTATTTTTACTCATTTACATGCACACACTGTCCTAAGGGCAAAGCTGTACTGTACATGTACTCAAAATAATGTACAAAATAATTACTAAGATTTTTGTCTAGTGCAAACTATACCATGATTATATTCAAATTAATCACTATCTTATAAGAATTCTAGCAATGTAAATTATATTCTCCCCGGTCACTTCTGTGACATTTTATAAGCAAAAAACAAAAACTCAATCTAAAGGACATAATTAAAAAAAATAAATACTTCACTAGACCTTCAGCACCAACTGTCCAACATGTCACTGTCACCTACCCTCCCTTCCTTCCCCCTCCAGGGTTTGGTGGTTTTAGGCTTACAGTTTTTATCTTATATAATATCACAGACTAAAGTTAGGAGAATATAATTTGCTTTGCTGGAATCCTTGCAAGACAGTGAATAATCTGAATCTAGACATCATATATTTTGCACAAGAGATTAAAATTTTAGTACATTAGTGTACTGTAGTACATTTTTTAATGTACAAATTTTTCAACTATATTTTGGGGTAGATTTACATAAATTTCTTCATTTATTTTTATTCATTTACATGCACACACCGTACTAAAAGAAATAAATGACCTAAGTGCAAACCTGTACTGTACCTTTACTAAATGTTTAGGGTACTAAAATTTTACGAAGTTGATTACCACCCACACAGTCTTAGTAAACACTGGTTCCTATATATACTCTCTCTGCAGAACAGTTTTGATTAAGAAGTCACAGAGGACAGTACAAACAATGTGGCACTAGATACCCTTCATTATGTGGAGTTACTGACACAGTGTTGATTTGGACGGCCTGAGTGAGGTGTCTGATGATGGTGATTGACTTCATTCAGAGGGACAGAGAAAAGAAACTGACACTAGTGATATATGGAGTGTAGGATGTGGAAGTTTGGTAAAAAGAGTATAATAATAATGGTGTGGTGGAGGTATTGAACAGACACTCAGGAAAGAGTTGTGTACTGTTTGATCATGACATGTAAATGTGGTGTCAATTGATTTATTGAGGGGGGGGGGGATAAAGTTTTGGCTGATATGTGATGCTGGTCTTGTACGAAGTGAATGGAGTAAACCAGATGGATATCCAGGAGCTTTGTTGTGGAAGGAAAGGTAAAAGGCAGGGGGGTTGGGGGATAAATTTATGTTTCTCTTAATTCTGGTTAGGTTAGGTTATATTTGTAAGAGTATATTTACATAATATGTCCATACACAACAATAACCTATGTAGTTTAATTTTTTTCTTCTTTCATCTTTGGTCTTCTTTGAATTTTACAATTCTATTTTATAAGTATTTTATTTACAGTACTGTAATCCATTCATATCTTGTCCCTGCTCTTATCATTAACTTTCTCGAGGTCCTGGCACACTGCCTGGTCTAACAGAGTGCATCACATTCCCCACTGTCGGGCATATAATGTGTATAAACCTAAGTTATATTCAAAACCGACACGAATGAAAGCCCAAATTTTAAAAAATTTTAACAAAAATGGAAGCCCCTCGAAATCGAGGATGGCCGGCCCAAGGGCCTCCTAGGCGTGAATTTGTTAAGGTGAAGAAGCTGTCGCCAACACAACAACCACACCCCAAGTTAACGAGCTGTATGACCCAGTGTCAAGGAATAGTCAGAGAAGATTGGACAGCTCGCCTGCACTGGCTAACCATTACCCCGGAATACGATCCACAAATCGATTAACATACAGGTTCCCAATTACTGCTGGGTAGACAGAGACAAATGGCGTAAAGCAGCTTGCCCATAGTTTCACCCCGCCCTCGGTGACCTGTGGTGTAATGGTCAGCATCCTCGCCTAGTAAGCGAGCGGACCTGAGTTTTTACAACACCTCATACTGGAAAACCCCAAGAGAGTTAATAATGAGTGGCTTCCAATAACTTTAACTTGGATATCCTTTTTTGAGTCAAAATATATTTCTTGTTTTATTTTCAGTACAGTAATATATGAAGATAACATGGCTATTGTGTTACAGAATGGGACATGTCCTCACCTCGCTTCTGATGTCAACTTTGAAGAAGTGTCTTTGCTGTGTAGCAGCTTCTCGGGTGCAGATTGTGACCAGTTGGTGTACTTAGCAAGCAAAGAAGCCATCAGGGAGGTGATCCATAGCAGCAGCACCACCACCACCTCCCCAACACCAGTGTCTAACACTCCTGATGTAAAGCGTCTTGTGGCTAAGAGACATTTTTCTGCTGCACTTAAGAAAATTAAACCATCTATTACGTTAGAGGTATGTATGATGGAGGGCATTATTGTTAACTATCATTTTATCATTAAATACTACCACTTTATATTAAAACTGTATTAACAAACAAAATTGGGCAAAACATGTCAGAACACTCCTGCAAGACTAAATTACCAAGTACGTACTGTACAGTTCTCAATGCCAGACTCAAAGTAGACTTAGATTGGTTGCCTAGGAATTTCACCTGAAAATGCAAGTCAGTAGAGAATAAATTCACACTTGGTTCGGCAAGGTTGTTTAACCCTAAAAGCCCAGGTGATGTAAAACCCACCAAACCCCTGCGTGGGCATATCTCGGCAAACACCACTTTTTCAAAAAATCCATTGTCATCTTATAAATGGGTTAATAATATAAGAAAAACTAACAAACAGAAGAATGCTCTGTACTGTTAGATTCAACATTTATTGTAGCATAGTGTGAAGTGATGAAAGTTGTCTTGTTTGAAACTATACTGTGCACAGCCCACAATGAGTGGGAAGTGATGTTGACATGCACTTGCAATACACAATTCTTACTTGGAGGCTCTTTTATATCATATTTATATCTTAATGTGACTACAAAACACAAAATATTTATATTTACCTCAAAAGAACTATAAAATATTTAACAGAGGTCGAGGGATGTGCATCCATCATGATAGTTACCGGTAACTGACCACGACGCATGAGTCTTGAGATAAATATTACACATGAGTGAGTTGCCAATTATACAAATATCCAATACAAAGGATTTTGTCCTACCTGGACATTCAAATTATGCAGCGAAAATTAAGAATGTTGAGGAACGTCACCCAGGCTTTAAAGGTTAAAGTATCACCCGGAATAATGCTTTCCATGGCAAGGTTGAGAATTGCGTTTTATAGAACTCGAAATAGATCCTACTATGCAGTTTATATAAAAACCTCGATAAATCGGACTTCAATATATCAGAATTCACTTTTTTGGGACTTACTCTGTTGAAGGTGGAATTAGGATTATCTTCCAAGCAATGTTACAGGTGGTAATAACGTTGGAGAGAAGGCCGGTGGAGGCGTGGGTACATCCAAATTACTGTATACCAGCAATAGAATTAACAAAATATTAAATATAAACTAAATACAGTACTGTACTGTACAGTATACTGTACAATAATAAATAAAAACAACAGAATACTGTATTTTAACTTACAAATAAGTGTAGGAGTATATTGTATGTGGAAGACGAGTGTTTACTGGGAGCAGCTGGCAGAGGGGAGGGGGGATAGCATGGCTGGGTTGTTCCCTCCCCATCCCTCCCTCAAGATTCCTTTAACTTCTTTATGCATTTTCACCATAATTCTCATATAATTTAGGTTCATTTGGTAACAAGTTGATAAAATATTATCCTAAAAGAATCAGCTTTCATGAAAAAAGAATCCCACACTGAACACAATGAGTAATTTATATACAAAGGGCAAGCAGCTTATTGGCTTACCACAACGTCTGTCTTCAACACAGTAAATTAGTACAGTACAGTGCATTTATCATCACTTAAATACTATTGTAGTCTATTTATCATCTCTTAATAAATACTATTGCAGTGTATTTATCACCACTTAAATACTATTGTAGTGTATTTATCACTACTTAATAAAGACTATTGTAGTGTAGTGTCATCATATAACACTCAAAGGTAGTAAATTAAGTTTTTAAGAAGTTATCTTCATATCAGATACTATACAGTGTGTTATGGTGACCACCTGTTGTAAGCTGATCTACTGAAAACTCTCACACGGACTCATCTTGAGTAAATAACCTTCTGATACAGCTTATCCTTTTATTTTCAAGTCATATTACAAATTACATGCTGAAGATATTATATTAATCATGAACCATAAACCATAAGAGAAAATAATACTGAATCGATAAATAAACCTGACGAATGCAGCAACACCGGATCAGCCCCAGCCTACTTACATACTCAAGTGACTTAGTTCTCAGTAGGCCTATAGCAAGTCTGATTAGACAACTATAAAGTATTCAGTAACTGTGGTCCTTTTCATAAGATTTTTTTTATTAATCTTCCTCATTTCTGAAAACTTTTTTTTTTTTTTTTGTTCTGACCAGAGCATCTCAGACTCCGAAAAAAGCGAATTCCAATATATTGAAGTCCGATTTATTGAGGTTTTACATACAGTGGTCCCTCGGTTAACGAGATTTCGGTTAACGAGTTACCTTCCATAAGATTCTTAATTTCGGTTAACGAGCAATCCCTCGATTAACGAGTTTCTTACGAGCCGACCTCCACATGTTTTAGCTTGCATTTGGCAGTCCACCAGCTGTAGTATTAGTCCGCCAATACAGTAATCGGTTCTAGGGCTTAAATTCCTTACACTTTTACTAAATATCAAGAAGTTTATACTATTCAATAATTTTAAAAGTTTAATATTAAATTTTTTAGTCATTTTAACTATTATTGAACATAATTGAAGGTAGGGTCACTAGTTTGTGGCACGCCATCCAGCCTGCCAACACAGCATACAGGCGTCAGTCTTTGTGTCTTTTCAGTGGAGGTAACATCTTGCTTGAGACTCTTCAACTAAACACTTTTTTTCTGTGTTTGCAAGCAAATTATTGGTCATTTTGAAATTTATTTTACATATTGACAATATATAATGCAGTGCAGTGTTGATTTAAAGAAAATAATCTTGAATTATACCAAGAGAACTAAAATTTTATGGGTGAAATGGTGCCATGGGGTGACTTTTCTTCCACCCCAATGCCTTCTCTTCTCCCTTCTCCTCCACCCCCATTCTAATTCCCATCATCATCCAGGAGCCTTCTACATATACACCTCAAAGTAAGTGTACTTTTCTACCTTTTTTGTTGAATTTAGGCAATTTTCGGTGAGCTGGAACCAATTACCCAAAAACCCATTGAAACAATGGTTTCGGTTAACGAGTTTTTCGGTTAACGAGCAACCTTCTAGAACGGATTGTACTCGTTAACCGAGGGACCACTATATACTGTATATACTGTACTGTAAAATTTATATTTCTCAATTAATTTATATTAAACTATTTTATATGTATTTGGCTCAAATTTACTTAAATGTACAATACAGGTACAGTATTGTTTAGTGAAGGAACAAGCAACTTAGTTAGGCTTTAATGAGTATTATCCACGGCCATAAGCCTTTAGTCTTGCCAACCGTGGATTTGCCAACCATGGGGTTTTTCATTAACCTAAACCCTGCGGTTGGCAAGGGACTACTGTACTTGCCTACATCAGAACTCAGGTTATCAGTTTATTGGTGTTGCTAGGAGAACTGTGCTCTAGCACGGAGCGAGAGTGAGTGGCCGTTCCGGGGCCGCCCACTACTATATATACCGGCTGACTGATGACTTTATATATGATGACTAGTTACAACAATTATAGTCATTGTTAACTATATTACATCACATTACATTATACTACTGTATTACATTACATTATATTATTCTTCTGTCGCTACAATCTGTTAGCGGTTTCAGGAAAATAATATGTTAGCCCACTTGATTTTGATTCATATGATTATCAAATATTTATTCATGATGTTTATGAGTCCATTGTAGAAAAGTAACAGTTAAAATGGGCATCCCAATGTAAATTGGCTTTATATTTTATTTTTTTATTAAAAATTTTAATACCTTAAATGTCATCCTACAGGAACAGAGACGGTACAAGAAGCTCTATAGCAAAATGGAGGTGTCCAGAGTGCGAGGAGAGCTCCCAGGGTTCCCAGAAGATATTAGTTCTCTAACTGAAAATTTAGAAGAACAGTCTCAGCCATTGGATGTAGCAAACCAAAAGATATAAATTTTCCTTCAAATATAGCATTTTTTACTACTTAACCATAATAATAGTGCTGGTGTGAATGTACAGTCTCGTTCAAGATTCTTCGAACACTGCTGGAAACAGCTGGCAATGCAAGGTCGTTTGTTTACTATAATACGTAATATAATATAATACGAAACAGCAAAGCCCTGCCATTAATTAAGTAACGGGGAACTAAGTAACCAATCACCGATCACATTTACATTTATTCATAATTTTTACTACGTACTATAGTAAACAAACGGCCTTGAGTTGCCAGCCGTCTCCAGCAGTGTTCGAAGAATCTTGAACGAGACTGTACCTATAGTGGGTTTTAACAGGGCCTCAAGAGCCCTAGGGAACACCCTTGCAATCCTAATGTAAATAATTGCTATACTGTGAACCCTCAAAGATCTGGACTAAAACGTGGGACCACTTGTCCAAAAAAAGATGATTATCTGAATCTTCCGGCAAATGTACTAAATGTATAAAAACGATAAATATTGATATAAAAAACACCAAAAATACAGTACATAATATCCTGACCACTGGGGTTAGATATACATACTTTTTCCCATGAAAAAGCCATAATTTTGAGCAACATATTACTGTACTCACATTGTACTCAAATGAACTACACTAAAGGACTAAAATTTTTATCTCTTTTGCAAACTACCTGTACATGATGTTTATATTCAAATTATTTACTATCTTGCAAGGATTCCAGCAATGCAAGTTATAATCTGCTAAGTTTTGTCTGTGACATTTTGTAAGATAAAAACTTTAAGACTAAAACTACCTTCACCCTGTTTTGGGAATGCTTCATAGGGAGGTTTCTTAGCCCAGAACCCCCAAATTTTTTGTCCGAATCTTCCGAAATCCGGATTTACCAGGTCCAGATCTTCAAGGGTTTGCTGTACTGTATTATCCTTGTGGCCCCTTATTCACTTTCTCTTTTCTGATCATAAATTCCCCTGGCTTTGTGAAGCATGTATTTTAATATCAAATTTTTGGGGGATTATATTTAATTACAGTATAATTATGTAAATGGTTATTGGTTGTAACTGTTTCAAACATTGTTTTACAATACTCAGAACTGTAAACAGAAGAATATTGGCTGTAACACATACTGTATTGACAAGAAGGGTACAGTACTTAGTCAGTGCAGGGTTGCTAGACTTGGCGATTTATTCCATGAAACATCTTATCATGGCATCCCAAAGGATTATCCTTCGGGAACGGAGAAGAGGAAAAACAGAAAGATGGAATTTTCTCCCAGAATAAAGGTATGTGTTTTTGTTTTTGTTTTTTTCTTACTATGCTAGCTAGCTAAGTGCAATTTTGAAATTTATTCAAAGCGGACGACCTTAAGAGAATCAGAGGAACCAAGGCCTTGGGTTGCCTGTGCAGATCATGCCACACCATTAAACTAATATACTTAAACAAGGGGAAACTTTAGAGGAACAAGAGCCTTTTGCTACCAGAAATGAATTGACCCCACAAGACAAACCAACATTGACAAGTACAAAATCTCTTCATCCAGCCAAATGGCCTCTATTATTTGAGACTTTAAGATACAATTAGTGGATCACTTCAGGTTTAATCAAATTTTTAATTCTCAATCTGTAAAAGTGTACTGGCAATAGTAAAGGCATTCAGCTGTAAAATCTGCTTAAATTTGCTTGATGGCAACTGGGACACCATGCCTTCAGGTGATACTGGCTAACCTACACAAGTGTGGAAAATGAGGAAATGGAAAACCTTCATTTACAACCATAGTTTATTTAAACTGCAATGCTATCACTTAAGACTAGAGACTTAGAATGTATACAAAGGAGTTATCTTAAATACACACAATTTTGAATACACAAGTAAAGTAAAAATTTTCTACAAACCTGTAGCTACTGATTACTCTTGGATCCCTTCTAGTACTTGAAAAAAGTCCAACTGATGGCCTTACATAACATACATAAATAGTTGAAATCATACTGAACAATTAATGTGCAGAGATAAACACAAAGACCTTTTGCATTTCTATTTATAGTTCAATTATCAATTTTACTATTTGGCATTACACTGAGACAAATTCAGCTACAACATAAATATACAATAATCAAATACCAATTAAATCAATGTAGCAAAAAAAACCCTCTTCATTTTCAGAATAAACATATTCCCTACAAAACTGGCTATTTCCTTCTATAAGCTAACACTGAAATTTACTACATTTCATGACAACATAATCATTAAGCTTTAAATGACAAAACATCAAATCTCCTTTGTAAATTACGAGTCTACTACAAGGCCACATGCTCATGGGCCACTCAATCCTTGGTGGCTTGTTACATAATGCTCACTTAGATTTAGTATAAATACTGCCCCATCACATACTTAAAACATCAATCATTTACAATAGCACAACTTAGGACATCAAGATTTGATTGGCTGGGGGCAGTGGCATGCAAAAATTTGGCAATATATATATATATATATATATATACAGTGGGGTATGCTATAACGAACGGATCCTACTACGAATATCCCTATAACGAACGGTTTTACCTATAAAATTGAGAATGCTATAACGAACGCAACTCCTACAACGAACGCGGATGAATACGGGACTACTTCACCTGGCGCATGAATATGGTTGTACCGCGACCCACAACAAGAGCGTCAGGCGCCATCTTTGTCTCATTGTGTAGCCAGTGCACCACTGTTATTGTTGAAATTTCGTCTTTTGATGTGGAAATTCGCGTTATTTGTATAAGTATTTTGTTATACAAGTATACAATTGTAACAATGAGTCGTCCAAAGCGAGTGAGAAAGCTAATAACCCTTGAAACTAAGAAAGAAATTATAAAGAAACGTGAGAATGGAAGAAGCATTGCGAAACTTAGTGATGAATATGGGATGGCTAAATCGACTATATGTACGATTTTGAAGAATAAAGAGGAGTTAAAAACTGTGCAAGTGGCTAAGGGAATCTTTAGACTTAGCAAAGCAAGGTGTAATGTGATTGAAGAGATGGAAAATTTACTCTTAGTGTGGATAAAGGAGAAAGAAATGGCAGGTGGTAACATTAGTGAAGCTATAATTTGTGAGAAGGCTAAACAATTGTTTGAGGACCTTAAAGCCAAGACTCCCAGTGGAAGTGATAGTGATGTGCCAGTGTTTAGGGGTACCTGCATGCTGAATAACACTAAGGTAAGATAAAGTACCGTATTTTTTACATTTTCCACAGAATTTTTTCAGTGTTAAGCGGTTGTATTTGGGGGCCTGGAACGGATTAATCCTATAACGAACGAGGTTCTGGAACCAATTACGTTCGTTATAGCATACCCCACTGTATATATATATATATCATGGTGGTTTATCTAAATAAAACATGATAACGATATGGGATCACAGGCATCGGTAGGACACATTCTATATCAAAGAAACTTCACCACTTATGGATGAAGGAGAGATAGATGGCATAATGCAGGTGTTCAACTATGGATTCTTTTAGTAGATTACTAATCTTAAATTACTATAACTTTACACTGCTCATTCTACATAAGTGTGCAACATATAAAATTCAAAATATGAACAACAATAATTCCACGTGCACATATACAGCATGTCAGTTGTAAATCTCTATAACCCATTTGTGTGTCTGGACTTTTATTGTAATAAAGCTATGTTCAATTAAAAACAAATGCTTGAATTAAAATATTCACCAAATATCTATAATTAAACATACAAATTTTACCTCAACTTTCCATTCATTAAAAATCTATTTTACAACTGATATCTGAATGAGGGATGTGGGCAGGAATGGACAACTTTAAACATTTGTCAAGCACTGTCAATCAGTTCCTTACTTGGTAATGCATATAACAACATACTACAGGCATTACTGAGATTCAACTTTTTGACATAAAATTAAGCTTACAATTTCAGATTGATGACTAACCATCCAGGGACACCATCACTAATACACTAAGCACACAAAAACCTTCTGAAAGTTGAGCATGAAGCAAAAAATATTAAAGCGTGGATTAAGTACATCAAAACAATTACATCAACCATCAATAGCTAAAGATCTGTCCAACATATACATCTTCATAGTGATCTTACAAACAGATAGCATAATATGACGACATGAGCACAAAGGCACAGCAAATTATCACGATAAAGGAATGTCATTATTATTTTCTATGGCACATGTTATCACACATTTAGCTTTTGGTAATATCACTCCTCACACAATTCAACAATGGAATGTAATCTAACACCAGGCAGGAATCCATCCAACATTAAAATGCCTAAAAAAAAAAAAAAAAAAAAATATTATACATTAGAATGCACAGCTTTATAATAGAGGCATCAATAACATTAGCAAAATAACAAGGGGCTCTTAAATTGGTTACACATTCATCAGCTATTCAGATGATAATGGCATTAAATTCCTGTGGCCCGAGAAAAAATTCACCAACAACATACAAACACTACAACTGTCAGATCTACTTTGAATAAGTTATATATTTCATAAAAATCCAGATCCCTATTCCAGCAAGTATTATTTTTTAATCTGCAGATCCATATTAAGTTTTTGGTTACTGAAATCTACATAAATAGATATTTAATTTCTTTGTAAATGGATTGATTGTTAAAAATCCTTAATGTAACAATGCTCTTTAATCAAGTGAGATCTTTGTTCACCCAACAAAGCAAGGTAAGAAAAGACAAGATTAATGTCATCAGAAATAACTTGTTTCTTCTGTATAGAGCAGAAGGGGAAGTGAGTACAATTAATCTTTTGCTTACGACAAACAATATAAATATTACAAGAACTTCATTCAACTTTACTAATCTCCACTGTACAGGAGGACAGCATACATGCCTTTAAGGAGTCAAATTAGGAGTCTAAAGATGGCACAACATTGTCTTTGAAACCTTCATGTGTATAGTATATACAAGCACTAGGAAGTGGGGAGGCAGAAAGAACAACCTCAATAAACATTGAAGAAGAACACAGCAAAAAGTGAAGACACTTGACATGCTAGTGCTTATAGAATTTATGGAAAACTGATACACACAAAGAGGAGCAAGAGCAGGTAGGAATTGGAAGATAGTTTGAAGCATTAACAGGAAGTGATGAAGAGGCTTGGGTATTACACAGCTTAGGCATGAGGAATAATGTAAAGGAGAAGACAAAGCTTTTAATTATAAGCCCTTAAACAAAAAGCTGAGGAAAGAAACGTAGAAACCAGGAACAAGAATAGAATATGAAGAAACCACACAACTGGTGTAGAAGGACAGAGAACAGAGCTATGCAAAAACTACTACTAGGTTCGAGCAGAATCAGAATGCTTTATAGGGTGAAAAGGTAAAAGAGGTGGAAGAGGAAGCAGGGAAAGTTTAAAGAGGAAAGCACAGTGAGATGGGTGTGTACTCATATCATGTCTCTTCAGTATTTACACAAACCACAAATGTATTGAGGTATGCAATGGAAAGTAGAGAGGGGCTGGGGGAGTGGGAACAGATGCCTTTACGGACCTTGATTATGCAGATGATGCTGTGTTAACTGGCAGATGTATGGCTGGTGTTATAGGGCATTAAGTTACTCACAAGGAACTTAGGACAAGGACAGAAGTAAGTTAGAAGACAAAGTTCAAACAAATTACTTAAGGTGGTACTGCCGACAGTTGTGCTGTAATGGAGCATCAACATGGCTGCTGCCAGTCAATGAAGAAGGAAGACTAAATGCCTTTAAAATATGATTACTGAAGAGTCTGTAAGAAATGCAGATATGAGGGCAAGACCTGGACAATCATCAGTTAAACTGTTAATAAAAGAGTAAAGTTACATTAGTTTGGGCAAGAGACAAAGGTGAGAGACAGTAGATGAACTTAAATGGCATTGAGGAAGATCAGGATGTATTTATGTGGTGGCATGAGACCCGATATCAATGAAGTGAAAGAAGCAATACGAAAGTACAGTATAGTAAATGGAAAAATATTATAGTGACATCATGATGTTGGAGAATAGCAGGGAGTCTCTGCATATAAAACTATCTATACATAGTGCATCTTGGGTTAAAAGCCAGTGTCGGACCAACTCTGAACTTACACATGTACACTGGCTCCGAAAGGGACCTCTACGGAGGGCTCCGATGAATTTCAAAATAAACACCGTGACTCCTGTTGTCAAAACCCTTCTTCTCTTGTGTCATATTGTCTCACACAAAATCATAAAGATACTTATTTGGAGTGAGTGTACAATCATTCCTATGTGACTTGTTTGCCTTCTTTATACCGCATACCCTGTATAAATAAAATTCACAAAATATTCCAAAATCATTACTGTGCTAACTTTTAACTCTGAATGTAATCCCTTACAGTAAATCAGTCAAAATACTTGTCAACACTACTCCACCCCCAAAAAATAATAAAATAAATAAATATATTTGAATCAAGTGTCTTATAATTACATAGTTAGGTACTGTAACTATAATTTGTCCACAAAAAAAAAAAAAAATTTTTATAAGACAAAGAATATTTATCGTGTACTTATATACTGATGTTTACATAAACCAAGTACTGTACAGTACTGTAATTGAAAAGATTTAAAATAATACTAAAACAGCTTTATAAATACTATCAATAATTGTTTCTTTATAAACCATAGAAAACATTTGCTGAACTGTATTATGGATGAGGCCTTTTTCATTTATAATATACTAAAGTGAAACCTCTATTTAATGGACTACCGGTATATGAAGAGAAAGTCCATTATATCGAGGGTGCATTATATGGTGGTTTCACTGTACATTATAAGAAAGCAGCAATGACAAGTTCCCCTTTATAAGAAGAACACCAACACAGAACCAGGTCACTGCTAACAGAGATCCACAGTAACACCACTAAGACACCCATTCAGGTTCTACTGCAATCTTTGGTGAAGTACATTAAATATAACTAAGTAACTCGTGTACTGTACCATTAAATTAACTAAGAACAGTAACTCATGTACCATTAAATTAATGAAGTAACTCCTGTACCATAGAAGTAACTGTCAAACTCCTGTACCATACAAGTAACTAAGTAACTCGTGTACTGTACCATTAAATTAACTAAGGACAGTAACTTATGTACCATTAAATTAACTAAGTTACCCATGTACCATACAAGTAAATGGCTAATTCCTGTAACATATAAGTACCTAGGGGTAACTCCTGTAACATATAAGTACCTAGGGGTAACTCCTGTACCATAAGTACCTAGGGTAACTAATTTCTACATGTAGTACCTCCAGAAACCCAAAATTATTAATAAGTAAACTTTATGCCAAAATATTGTCATCAAAGTTAACTAGGTAATAGCGTTATCTGAACTATGGTACAGTACACTAACCCCTAATTTTCCAGGAATACATCTCCCTACAAGTGTGTATGATACTAGAAATGACGTGTGGGGAAAAAAAAATTATATCTTAAGTTGTATGGCAATGATAAACAAGCATCCCACAATTCAATAAATTATTTAACTTAAGTTACATTAAATCTATTACATGAAAACACAGGAAAATAAACTTTATTTCTTAATAATCAACATGTAACCCTTTATTCTCCTCTAACTTTTATCTTTGTTCAAAAATCATAACCAACATCAGGGAAGTGAGAAATATTTACAATTGTGCAAAACAAAAAGAAACACAAAAAAGTAAATAAATAAACAAACATTGAAACCTCTATTTAGCGGACTATATATAGAGGAAAATCCATCATATCGAGGGTCCGTTAGATGTAAAACTTCCCATAACTAATTATAATGAGATAAAAGTCCATTACTGTATACTGAGGGTTCCATTAAACTTAAAAACCCTCATCTAATGGATTATTTGGAGAAAGAAGTCCGTTATATAGCAATTTCACTGCATACATCACTTCCCTCAACAAGTTCATATCCACTTTAATTTCACTCTCCTGGAAGACACTCAAGTTAGTATTGCACTATGTAACCAAATGTATTACTGTACCACTGTATCCAGACTGCACCTGTTAAAGGTTTACTTGCAAGAGACATCCATGCCCAATATGCCGGTTGCCACATTTATAGCAGACACTTGAAAACCTTCCCTTGATTAGAAAAAAAGAAAGAAACAGAACAACATTGAAACCGAAGGCCAGAAAGCGATGAACAACAAATAAATGATGCCCTTAAGTTCCATGACTGAAGAAGCTTAATTACCAAATTTTATTTGAAGTTTTACATGAACTACCTACATCCAGTATAAAATAGGCGGTTTCAATTTAGAGGTCTTCTTTACGAGGTTACCCCTTAATTTTCTGGGGAGGAATTGGGCACTGATGACATATGAGTGGAGATGTAATCATGAAACTGGAGGGGATAATTTTATACTCTTTATTCTGGTTTAAGACTTTTAACTGAACTGCAGCTTGGATGCCAGCAGGAATAACAGTAAAGTGATGCATGTATACATTCAGGGCAGAAGAGCAATGTACCAGAAAGTTCACTGACAGAAATCATGTAGCCTGATGGAAGCTCTCCATACCAATGTGTCCCCACAAAAAATGTCCATCACCAATACAAAACTCAAAAAGAAACATTACCAGCATGTTAGGAAGCTCTCCAGAGTGAAGGGTCACCAGCAGGAAGCTCTCCAGAGTGAAGGGTCACCAGTAAGAAGCTCTCCAGTGAAGGATCACCAGTAAGAAGCTCTCCAGTGAAGGATCACCAGTAAGAAGCTCTCCAGTGAAGGATCACCAGTAAGCTCTCCAGAGTGAAGGATCACCAGTAAGAAGCTCCCCAGTAAAGGATCACCAATAAGAAGCTCCCCAGTGAAGGATCACCAGTAAGAAGCTCTCCAGTGAAGGATCACCGGTAAGAAGCTCTCCAGAGTGAAGTGTCACTAGGTTTAAATAGGATGAGGTCACCAACTAAAGCTTCTTGTAGGCGACATCACTGAAAAGCTCAATTTTGGTAACACTACTGGAAAGCTTTATGCTGACAATGCTTCCTTCAGGAGACCCTTCATTCTGGACAGTTCACAACATTGGTGAATTATCTTAAAAGCCTTGAGCAAGTGTAGCAATCTCTAGATAACAAATCCTTACTATTATTTATAAGATACCTTGTTTATCCATGTCTTTATAAAAATAAGTTACATCACTGAAGCAATTGTGGCCATTACTGGCTCTTGCTCTCATAACTATATATAGTATTTCTAGGACAAGGCATTGGAAGGCAGCACAATTAAAATGAAGTAGAGTGAATGTCATTATTACAGTTAAAAGAATCCTGCCGAGCACCATTAGGCTTTGCCAGGAACAGTGAAGTGTATCAAGTTTACCATACTTAGATAATAATGCACTTACTGAACACCAGAAGCAGCTTTCTTGAAGATAAGAGATAATGCTCAAAAGTTTAAGGTGTTTAGTTTGTCCAATGAAGAGAGTCAATTCACTGTTTCTCTTGACAAAAGCTTCCATTTCCTTTGGTGTAATTTATTTACCTTAGATTAAAAAAAATCTATTTCATTTTTTATATTTAGATCATGTGATTACTGAAGATGACATAGGCTTGTAAACTTTTAACTTCTGAAAAATTGATGAGGCTGGGTGGTTTGGTTCATCATTGGCATACAATGTCAAATCATATTATGGTTTTAGCAAATCAAACATATGCCATTTATTCCAGGAATTGATATCTTGTACTTGAAATTCCTACTAACAACTCTAAAAGTTACTGCTCCACATTATACAAAATACCATGAAAAGAACAGAGAAAATGTGATTTATTCCTAGAACTGTTATTATCTTTCAAAGGTACCATCAATGTCTTTTACTGTTAAACAACTACTGACAACAGACCATATTATGATGTGTTATCATTTGGTCTCAATATTTTTTCCAACAAACCATTACTCATTGTACATTTATTTGGTCATTTTTTTTTTTACAAGTAAAAAATTATTAATGATACTACTGTATGTACAGACAAACACTAATATCCCTCATAAAATATGTGTTGTTATAGCTAGGTTTTATTTATTGCAGCCCGGGCAAAGATTACTTTTTCTATAATTACACAGCAGCTATATCACCTAGTTACTGTGATGGAAGAGCACTGCCTGGGAAGATCTTCATAACCACGAAATCCTTCAACACCTGAAATACAAGAGATAATGGGGTTACAACATGAATGACTGGAGTGTGCACCACCGAGTGATTTTTGTAACAAAGGTAAACCATATAGATATTTGGGACTTGTTGCGAGACCCTAAGACCACATTTATTACAGCAGTAAAAATAAATTAATGAATGAGAGAGAGAGAGAAGCTAGGAAAGGTGCCCTAAACATAGTCTGAAAAAAAAAAACTAAATGGGTAACCGCACCCAATAAGGTCATCCTTATGCGGTCGAAAACATAATCATAATCACAGATCAAAACTAAAACAAACTAAGCAACTTCTAATGGTCACTGCATGGAATATCAGGACCCTTCTGGGTACTGGCACAAATGAGTGTCCTGAAAGAAGAACCGCCCTTGTGGCAAAAAAAAACTGTCTAGGAATAACATCGACATAGCAACCATTAGTGAGTCCAGGCTCCCAGATAAGAGTCGACTCAGAGAACAGAGGTCTGTCTATACCTTTTTTCTGAAAAGGTAAGCCTGCTGCGGAGAGGAACCACATTTTTGGAGTTATCTTTGCCATTTGCCAATCCATCCTACATAGGTTTGTGCAAAAATGGTTAAAAAAAATGCAGTCAGATGAACAATACGCCAGCCCACGCTTTGTCTGTGAAGCCATTTTTAGCCAATAAAAACATCACTGTGCTTGAGCACCCACCCTATTCGCCAGTCCTGGCTCCCTGCGACTTCTACCTCTTCCCAAAGATCAAGTCCGAGCTCAAAGGAACCAATTTTTTGTCAGTAAAAGAAGTGAAAGCAAAAACGACGGAGCTCCTCAACAGCCTTACAGAGCATGATCTGCAGAATTGCTTTGAACTGTGGCAGCATTGTATGCAGCTGTGTGTCAACTCAGAAGGGAACTACTGTACTTTCAAGGCGGTCACAGTTGATTTTCTTAATATGGTTAATTAAACGAGTTTCAGCATGCCTCATTTTTTTGTGTCGTACATTGTATGAGTATGGAAACACAGAAAAAGGCAGAGCATTCCACAGTTTGGTTGTGTGAGGAAAGAAGGATATACTATAACAGGTTATTCTAGTGTGACCGACATTCACAGAGAAACGGTGGAAGCTGGAAGCTCTAAAATAGTTACAGAAATGCTGAAAGTATTAAGTGATGTAAGGGTGTCAATGGTGACCAAATTGACTAATGCAATGATGGTGGGAGGTATTATTACAGACAACTGGCAGAAGAGTTGGATTATGCAGAAGTGGATCCAGGGGGGAGGAAGGGGTCCTGTGGGTCTGCACCCCCCTTTTCCTCAGAAAATTCTAATACTGTACTTTTTATTTAATGCAGTATTGTACTCAGGCATTTTTGTATAGTAAAAAGTATTTTCTATTGACCTCAGAATATCACCTAATATCAAGTGCACATGGCTTTAAAATGGCCTCAAAATACCCATAATAGTGGTCAAATTAAAAAAAAAAAAAAAAAAAATTCTGGGGTGTCTACAGCACATGCCCAAATCTTCCAGCTGGCCCACCCACAACTTCTCTGAACCCCCACCCCCCCCCCACCTTTGATATTCATGGATCTGCCCCCGTTATGAATACTTAAAAAGCTAAAGGCAATGCACCAGAATGCGGGAACTAAGGGGTCTGAAACTGCTAGATCATGTTCTGAAATATGTGGAAAGTGATCGAGAAATTGGTAAAGGAGAGAAAAGGTCAGAAATAAAGTGCAGATTGGGTTTATGCCAGGTGGGGAGACTACTGTGGCAATATTCAGGGCCAAGCAACCACAATAAAAATATCAAATACTGACACACAATCATGTTGGGTATCTTAAGTTTTCCCATTCATGATTGAATTAAAATGAGCTTTTCTTCACCTTGAGCCATTCAAAAGCTCTAAATGCCAAAGGATTCAACTTCAGAAACTGAACAATACCATAGGTACGTAGTTGGTAGTAGGCCGCTATTAAACAGGGAGGTACTACCGCCTGGGAAGATATTGGAAGCATAATGTGTTGTCTAATAGTAGACCCTGCTGCCATATGGCATTACAAAAATTGTGACCAAGTCCCAGGTTGCTGATCTGACTTTCTGCCTCATTTACACTCAATTGCAGGGTCTCAATTGCTTCTCTTACTATTGACAACACAACATACATGCATGCAGATACATTGTTTCTCACTCGATCTTTTTTTTTTTTTTTTTTTTTATTATTGTTATTATAATTGTATTAATTTTATATTTAATTTTTATTAATTTTTTATTTATTAAGAATTATTATTATAATATTTTTGCCCCCCAGGCCCCGATGTGGGTCAGCGACCTGTGCCCGGGTGGGCTAATCCCAGTAATAAAAAACAAACAAAACAAAACGGCATATTCTCAAATTGTTACTTTTAACTCAATTTGAACATATTATGTATGAAAACTGCAATTTTTCTCTTATTTTATTTCACTTACCTGTAGAAGATTCTCCCGAGTAGGTCTTGGCACAGAATATGTAAAGCCTTCTGCTCGAAGCTTGGATCCATCCAGGTTTAGATGGTTGTGGTGCACCGAGTCTTGGTCAATATAAGGAGTCAGTGGGGTGTTGTCCAAACCACCAGCAGAGCAGAGGCCAGCCCAAGGGATTAGATGCTTCTCATTGATTTCATTAACGAGTCCAGCTGCGTCTGTCTGAATATGTATTAAGCTTTTGTCACTTATTAGCACTTTCAATATTATCAATACAGTTTACTACTAAATATATGAGAAACATGACAAAATAATACAGTATTACAAATTGTAAACCTTTGGCACCAATGGGAACGGAGTAACATTTCTCATTCCAAATTATAACCCTAAAATTCATTTCAACAATAAACAGTGTTCCAAAAAGAGGAAGGAGACCTATGTCTCTCACCTAAATCAGTACTTGTCTCCATCTAATAACCCAAACACAAAAGTGAGTCAAACTGTTTGGAAATAGTTGGAACCCAAAGAGCCAGTACATCTGGTACTGTAATCTGCTGCCTTCACTTCCCATCCTGCAGCTGGGTTGACTGGAGGGAGTTCCTAACCACTGCTTCTCTTATGTACTACCCTTAGTCTTACCCTTTCCATGAACATCCTTAAACAACTCCAAACCTAATGAAGGGTCCTGAGACTCAATTCATGAATGAAATGTTTAAGTCAAGTGACATAGTCGATCCTGCACTTGTTAACTTGCTGGCTCTTGATAAAACTGTTTCAGATGGGCAAGTGGCAATTTAAAACATTTGCAATGATTCTCATTGGACAGTATCCCTGTTTCAGAATGCATGTACTTCTTGGAAGAGGTGAGCTCTGCCAGGTGCTTGTTTGAGCAAGTGATCTTGCAAGTCACCAAAAAACTTACCGGTAATAGCATGAGAAGAGGGAGAGGGATGGCCACATATATCATGGTATTCATTACTTGCATGTGTATAATTGGGACAAAAGAAAAAAAAAAATAAATAAAAATAAAAAAATAAAAAAAAAATAAATAAAAAAAAAAAATATATATATATATATATATATATATATATATATATATATATATATATATATATATATATATATATATATATATATATATATATATATATATATATATATATATATATTATTTGGGTTTTTTCAGTGAAGACGAGTCCTGGAGGGCGAAAAACAACGTCATTCACTAAGTGACTTGAAAGCAGAGGATATTAGTCACTAAAGATCGACTGTTTTCATAAATAGAAGATGAGCCGCGTTCGCCATGCTTGACCAGACCATATAAAAAATTGCCCCAAACACAATATATGAGAGACATAATCAAAATTAAAGTCACTCAATTTTCTCACCGTGCTAAGATGTATAAATACCAAAAGTAAAATCCTTGTGGCACTTAATATTTCAGCTATTACAACACAAATTAGCGGAGCCTTCTTTCTGCACATTTACAGCGCAAGAAGAAGCTAGACTTCGCATTCTGGATTGAACAAAAATATCTCTTGCACATATATGCACTAAGAAAAAATAAATAAAATTATCCCCCCCTTACATGTGTGTGTGTGGGGGGGGGGGATGCCACACACACACATGTATAATAGAGGTAAAAGAATTAATTGTCCTAAGGGCAAACGCAAAGGGAATACACATTTCTTTACACACGAGTAAAAATGTACCCCCCCCCCACCCCCCGGTCAGCAAATGATATTCGCAAATTTTGCTATTCATGGCCATTTTGAGACCCAAACCCCCATGTGAATTTTAGGGTCAAGCTGTACTGTTTATTCTATTTTAAGTAGTTATTAATTCTCATGCTGGTTAACCATACTTTAGTTTCCTTACCTTGGCAACTGTTGAGAGTGTATTCCCCCAATAGTCATGATTGATCTTGTAGATGTCACACACAATACTCCCTATGTCACCCTGCTTGGTGTTGGCATCATCCACAACGTTATAAATTTGGCCTGTTTTCCCACGTTGGCACAACCACGAAATGGCCCTAAAAATAATAATACTTAATAGAAATAATAATACTAATAATAATAATAATAATATAAATAATTAATTACAAGTTTAAGCAAGTTCAATATTATTAACAATAATGAACGAATGACCCTTAATCTCATCTTGAGACTGAACAATGAAGACTGTACTGTACCATAATAACAAATCAATGACAGTGTTGACAGTCCTTGCCCAAGTTTTCACCATTTCTGTACTATACTACATCATAGTAGCTCACCTAGCAACATCAGTCACATGAACAGTATTGATGCAAAGCTTCTCATCCCATAACATCTTCATCGTCTCACCGAGATGGCGGTAAACCGCTCCAAACACAAGTCGTGGAGCTGCAACATAATATATTTTAGAAGAGGTGACTTGTGAAAGCAGAGAGGTAGAACATGAATAATGGTGTCTATGGAAGAACTGACATTCATGATAGAAAGAAGACAGGTATAGTCGCAGTCAAAAGTAATCATCCACTCCACCACCTAAACCCTGCACCTGGCCGGGTCCTTTCTGCCTGATAAGTCATGTGGGTGGAGAGGGGGAGTGGTCGAATTGGGGGAGGGCAGTTTGAAGGGCAGGGGAGGAGTGTGCGATGTAAGTTGCTCATCAGAGAGGGAGGGAATTGAAAAAACCAGGAAGTTCATGAACAATGGAAGGAAAGGATGGACATAAATTTTTTTCCACTATATTATCTTAGGTTTACATGCTTGAAAGAGTAATAGATGAGGACCCTTATTTTATGATTACTGTGAACCCTCAAAGATCCTGATTTGACCCACAACCTGTAAAATTCAATGACACATCACACATTCTCAAGAATCCATTGACAGGTATTCTTAAATATTTGTGTCTTCATTGTGTCTGCTGCACTGAAATTTATATACAGTTCAGTACAGCATACAAAATGACACTAAGACAATCTTACATTGTACACTTTAAAATGCTCAACATAAGTCTTATCTAATGTTTAACTTATTCAATAGTATCTTTGGTATCATGAATAAAAAGTTACTAAGGCCAATAATATACTGGTAATCTAAAGTCCTTAACTGATAAAATCTTCCATATCTTGAGACAAATAAACTTACTAAGGCCAGTTTTGTCAGATAATCCATAGACTGTGGCGGGTCGCACAATAATCCAATTCAGATCCGGTAGACTCTTGATCTCCTTTTCCACCTGATACTTGCACTTGGATGTAACTGTCCAGGGATTACAATCAGCACTCTCTTTGTGTGGAACCTGCAAACACACACTGGGGGGTTATGGTGCACTTGTACAGTACAGTATGATGAAATGTTCCATGTTTTAGTCTTGTATAATGAAATGTTGGATGTTTTAGTCTTGTATAATGAAATGTTGGATGTTTTAGTCTTGTATGATGAAATGTTGGATGTTTTAGTCTTGTATGATAACATTTCCATCACCTATAACTACCAGCAGACCTCCTTATACCAGTACATATGCTGATTAAAGATAGTGTCGTGTTTAGTAAACTGACGGCAACATTTTCTTATAATGTGGAGGTTTATTCATACCTTTTCATTGGAGGCCATACTCCCAGCTGATATCTCCACGTAAATCTTAACTTTCCTCTTTGCTGCCTCATTAGCACAGTTAGTTGACAATCGAACTATTCCTTCACGATACACTGCTTCTACCTGCAGAGGAAAATATCTTATAAAACAATTGGTTCCAAAAATATAACACTTTTAAATTACAGTTTTGTCAAGGTCCCTTAAGTGTTGGCCTAATATTGGAAATTCTGCTGCATAATGGAGTCCAAACTAAGAGACTTGAGTATTGTACAGTACCATCATGTCTAAGGGTTAATAACCCAGGTGAACAACCCTGACATTAATGGCTGGTAATTATAAAAAAAATTGTGACACCTTCCTATGGCAACTACCACCCTTTAAAGAGAGATACTGCATTTGGAATCAAAGTGCTGCATAACCCAGCCTTCCCTTGCAGTCATTGGCTATACCTGTATTGGAATTCCAGTCACAAGCCTAAGCCCAGCTGAACTCCATGATAAAACCCATTGGCAGGAGGAAGAGAATCCGAGTCTTTTTGTCCTGAGACACTTTTAAATGGGATTTCCAAAATTTAAACTATATTTAAATCCTCAGGCCAGCCTAAGATTATTTAAGTACAGGGGCCCTCCAAATTTGCGGGTATTCGGTTCTCAATATGGCTGTGAATCGCCAAATCCGCAAATAACATTTACTGACCAGGGAGGACGGGGGGGGGGGGATATTAGCTAAGAATATCTAATAAACCCCAGGGCAGGAAACACTGCATGAGTAAATTTATAGAAAAACGAGATCAAACTTTCATAACATTACCTTTCCAAATTCTCCCCAGCAAAACAGTGGGATAACTTCTTCGAAGCCCTAGGCCAGACACTAAGGTCCAAATTCAGAACAGTGGTTTGAGCCTGGGATTTGAGCTCATCTCAGGCATGCAAATTGGGATTCCTCAATCCAAGATTTCCTGCAGTGAATTACCCATATTCAGAACATCAGCTTGAACCCCGGATCGGGTAATCTTTGCATTTTCTTCAATCACGAGCAAGGATTCGAACGCCAAAATTCCAGCCAATCACGCTTCAGTTACACCATTACGACAGCCAATCACCATCAAGAGTAATGTTTACAAGATCATGGTGGCAACTACGACTCGTCGAGTTTTTACGAAGGAGGAGAAATCTCTCCTTGCATATCATAAGTTACTTTTGTTACTATAATTACAATCAAATTATAATGATTTATGGTACTGTGTTACAACGTGGCTGTGTTGTTATATGATAACAAAGAAATTCATATAGGAAGAACAATTACATACAAATTGTAGATATAACCTGGGACAGGTGTCAATATTCATAACCAAAGCAAGATGAATCAATGCAGGGCATAGTAACCTGGCTAGGTTCTGTTAGTTTAGGTTTATTTCTGTTCTTTAACCCCAGATAAGACTTTCCCTCATGCAAACCTGGGTAATGGCACGAAGACAACCCCGATGCCATAGCAAAAATACATTACAGTGGCCTCAGAGTGATCCATCACATCCAGCTTCAGGGACACCCTATCATGCGCAACATGACACTAAAGCTGGCCACGGCATTATTCACTTGATGATGAAGCAGCCTCTCAGGGTGCTACCCGAGTTTAGGTTCTAGTACTGTCAAGTGGAAGCACCGGCCTGTGAAACTCACCCGGTACCCTCTGTACAGGCCTAGAAAATTCAACAGGGACCAGGGAATGAACACAGCTCTGGTATCCCCATTTGCCATCAGGCATGCTGGGGTAGTTTTATGGCTGGATGCCCTTCCTATCTTATTGCCAAGCCACAAGGTAGAAACAGTTGGCAGGGTAGGATCACAACTCCCTGAGGTAATCAAACACTAGCCACCTACCAGCTAGTACTGTATTATGAAAATCTGAAACAGAATTGAAGGGACCATCAGATCCATAATATGCTGGGCCTTTAGAAAGAAAGACACAGGACACCAATGGATAACTTTCCATCACTTACACTTCATTGTTGTTTGATCAGCCAAGAGTACAATTTCCAGACAATCACTAAAATTCCTACCTGTCCAGTTTTTGCCTCTCCAGCAGCATTTATGACCCAGTCCCACTCCTCCTCCCCAAATGCTGCAGCACATGATGCTGTAAGAGAAAAACGTTTTAAAGCTTAAATGTATTTGTCTTGTGTAGTTTTTCTTGCCTAAAATAATAATAAGGGAATTCAAAACATAGGACACAAATTAAAATGATCACCAGTTTTGTGGCTACAGGAGTGTTGTTCTGAGGGACCTATTTTTTTGTCTCAAATACTGAAATGATTTAGATCTGAAAACACAGCATTTATTAATGTAAGATTCATCTAGTGCTAATATGGACTTCTACTGACCTGTAAACATAGATTTCACATCTGTTTACATTTGTAAATAAATTTAAAATAAATAAAAGTTTACTGTACACTCTACTACACAAGCACATATACTGTATGTGCTTATGTTATGTTTTTAGGCCGCAAAAAAAATAATCCATAGGACCACATCTCAACTCATATAATGGGAGTCAATGGGAAAAATGGTTTCGTGATACAGAATTTCGCGATGCAGAAAGATTTTCAGGAGCGGAACCCTTCCGTAACCCGGGGGATCCCTGTATACCCAAGAAGCTTAGTCACAGGACAAGCAGCTGGGTTAACTACTTGTAAACTCAGATGCAAGTCTCATGGATTAATAAATAAACAGTCAGGAGACTGACATTAACTGGTAAACATAAAGTGTTGTCACACTACAGGAATCCAAACTTGAGTACTGTACTGTAACACAGAAAAAATCTGTTTAACCACTACAGTAATCTGATGAAATACCTGTGGACTCACCTGGGTTAATTAGATTAGCACTCCTGAATGTAACAACATCATCTTCAAAGATTTTTGTCTGCTGCTCATTAAGCCATGCAATCTGAGGAGGCACTTTGTCCACTACGCAAATACTCGAGGCTACATCTTTGGACACAAACTCAGATACAATGTGTCGCCCAATAAATCCACATCCTGAAAAAAAGTACATCCATTAACTGCACGTCTAATCCTATAGATAAAACATTAACTATATTTTAGCAGTGAAATTCTCTCACATCTGTTAACACAATCACTTCCCTCCACAAACAGGTATTGCCGGTTTAGTTGTGTACATATACTGTACTTTAAAACAGTTTTTAAAATCCTGTAATCATTATTTTGCTCAAGTAATCTTTAATATTGTAACTAAATGCAGCAATTAGTGTAACCATCCAAGTTTGTGGGTAACAGGTCTGCATTTGTATGCATACTGTAGAGGACAAGACAATCACAAACCTACTATAATGTTATTTGGTTATTATTCCCTCTTAGACCTACTGTAATTCACATGAAATATAATTTAACTACAGTTTAAAGTTCTGTTTAATTTTAAAATGATTAGATAATAAAAGTACCAGGAGTAAATTAAAAGCACACGAGAGTCTCTCATTCTAATTTAGCTTGCTAAATTAAATACAAGTTCATTAATTGAATTCCCACAACTTAAAACATTCGGGTCATTAAACCAAAATCTCAATTAGTGGTTACAGTAATTCCTCACTAACTGTAGGGGGTTACAGTCACCAAGGGCCGGGTCTAATAAAGGTTCAGGGAAGTGATCCCAGAGACACATACCTAAAGCCCTATACTGTACTGTACATACTGTTCAAGTGTACAATACATACTGTACAGGTATACTGTACACTAGAGCTATAGATTTGATGTTTAACATCATTTTTGGTATTTACATTTTTATTTGTTTTTTGTTTGGTTAATAATAGTAAAAAAATAAATAAAAAAAATCAATCAAAGTTGGTCAAAATGTTCCTCAAATTTGAAGATAATTTCTGAAATTTTCATATTTTTCATTCAAACAAAAAAATTTTTTTGTTAAAAGTTTGGCATTCTAAGTGAAGTACAGTACAAATAGTTTACCTAGACTACTGCACCAGTTGACAAAACGGTTGTCTTGATCAGCCAAGTAATGCTGTATAAAGCCACTTCTTGTCAGGGTAAATTATTATTTTCTTTTTTTTCATGGGTGAAAACAGGACATTGGTCATGCAAAAATTTTAATTGTTGATCAAGGGAGAATACACTTCTACTGAATTTTGTTCAGAGCAACATCTCAGCCAACTTAGAGCAGAAAGATGGAATTTACTGTATGTTTTCTGAAGTATATCACTAAAAGTAATTCAAAAGACCAAAGTGCATTAATGCTTTTAATCTAAATACTGTATTGAGCAGGAAGAAAATGCACATCCAGAAGTGTTATCTCACTGGCTACATACTTATCCTCCCAAAAGTGTAAAATAATGATCAAAATTATTATTCCAACCAAAAGAGAACACCAAGGGAGGAATTAGTGCATATAACATGTGTAAATTATGTACAATTAATATGATGTGTTAAATCAAAATTCTATGGCAGCCATTACATTGACCAAAACACCATTATTTAGAATATTAATAAGTATTTGGATTCCACGTCTAAAAAGAGAACGATACTGTACACTACATGGTTCAGGAAGTGAACCATTATGCTGCCTTATAACTGAAACCCACAATCAATGCAGTAGTGTAGTGTACAGACTTGACTGGGCAATAATCATACATATAAAACATAGAGCTACAGTACAGAACAACATATTCAAACCTTGTCAGGAATAAAAAAAAAAAAGTGTGCAATAGTCCACTTATTTCTATTGTAGTCCTCAAAAAAATAGTAAAAGAAAAACGGACAAAATTGCATATTTCTTATCAAGTAAGCAATTACTCCAACAGAATATTAGACTGGAAGAAAAACTGTGTAAGTACGGTACATTACAAGATTCAACTAAAATTTGCAATAAGTAAAATTTAATAAACAGTACAGTACAGTAGTTTGACAAGATCGTCCGTTGATTTGATAAATACATGTACTGTATAATGTAAATACAGTATGGCAGAGTACCAAAAATAATAAAAATAATAATAACAACTCATATGTAAATTTGAAAAACGTATGTTTCCTTGTAAAGTGTTAAGTTCTTATGAGCACAGATAGAACCACTCAAACCAAACTAAATGATCTCACGTTCTTATTTGTTAGGTTTGGATAGTTCAAGTTCTGTCACCGTACACACCGCGGCAGTGTTCAGTTACGGATGTCTGATTCTCCAGCTACGTCTGACATCTAAGTTTAATTCTAACTCCTGGCCAGGTCAGGTTATGTTAGGTTATGGTATACCAAAAATTATATCGAACATAACAATAAAGACTTAGTTAGAGTTGACAATGTCCAACACAGCACTGAACAGTTAGGTTATGGTAGATTAATGTTAAGGTGTTAGGTTGGTGTAACATTTTTGTTGACAAACCTAGACATTTTGTATCAATATATAAATGTAATTTTTGAAGGTTCAAACACACAGTTTTTCTCATTTCCCTGCTGGATCTGCATTATACTGTATGTACAGTACAGGTACCTGTATTCAAATGAAAATATCATTTGAGGTTTCATAAAAAAATCAAATAAGTAGCAACACACCTGAATTAAATACTGTACTGTACTGTACAGGCATCCTTAGATTTACGAAGGATCAATTTGTGAAAACATGATTACTGGTATGAATTGTGTAAACTTAAGATCTACACGGTACATATTTTCCAATTTACAAAGGAAGATTTCATTTTGACTTAATTTTTACAAAATCTAGTAGGAACAGAGAAAAATCTTTTCTTTCCTGAGTAACCTTCAATACTTAATTAAACATAAATCATAGTCATCATAGCTCACAAACTGGCACAGTGGAACTATCTGGCAGAAGGCATTGTGGCAGCGCTGAATGTGAGCTCATTCAAGACCAGACTTGACCAACACTGGTGCAGGTACAGATACATTCTGGAGCCAGTACATGCCCAGTACAGTACTTGCCAACAGTGGGTAACAGAGACATAACCAACCACCCAAGAGGCTAACAAGCCGATCAGTGGCAAAGAGGATAAAGTAAAGATCTTGGCTGTGGGAACACTGATGTATATATTCTCCAAGTGTTATCTGGTGCTGAAGGACAATACTGTATATACCAAATAAATATACCTACATACAATATAAAATGTTGGAACACCTGGAGAATCTCCACCCCAGCTTATTTCATGTAAATATTAACCACCCAAACACTAGAGGGGGATGAGGTTAGGTTAGTGTTAAGATGGTTAATCTTTAGGTGAAATAAGCTGGGTGGAGATTCTCCAAGATCAAAAATGTTAAATGAATATGTGTAGAGTACAGTACATCCCACTGCAGCATCACCACATATTAAAGTTTTCCATTTAATTTTTAGTAAATAAAAATGGTATGTGGTTATATTCTTTACTAGATTAGAATACAAATCTTGTTTCTCATGCATGAAATATGTTCTTAAAAATGTGTCAAAAGTCATTATAAGTAAATTTTGGGGCCACATCATTTTTTGTAGAACTGAATAGATCTCCAATTATATAATGGAAGTTAGTAATAAAATACATTCAATTTGCGAAACTTTGATTTAAGATGGTTTTCAGGAGCAGAACACTTTCATATATGAAGAGATGCTTCTACACAGATACACACCTTAATTCTGTAAATATGGACCATCCTGCACAATACAGGTACAGTATACATTAGTTATGACGTTAGGTTACACTTTGACCATTCATAGCCTTTTAGGTTAAATAAAATTTCTTCAAGAGGTAAGCCGAATTCAAAATTTGACAATATGCCACAAAGTGAGTGGCAGTACATCAGCCTGGTTAAACTTACACAACTGGTTAGGGCATGTTACACCTGGAGACATCAGTTAGCTTAGGTCATGATATGACTGATCCTGCTAAGTTTGACATTAGTATATACTAACACTTATACTATCCTAGGTGAAAGACTTCTTATGTTATATGGCAAATCCATCAGGTATGGCTCATAACTTTAATTAAGAATAAATTGGGTTAAGCACCAAGAAACTCATGTTAAACACTCATCAAAGTCATCACTTGCAGATCACCAACACCTAACAAGTGTAATTTCAAGTTTCTTTTAATATTTCACCAAAGTACTACAGCAATTAACTGACCTATCAGCTTAAATTCTCGTTAACCTTGATACAAAAAGAACAATTTAGCAAATAAAAAAAATCCTAACAGAAAATCCATACCGGTAACTGATGGAGGACTACCACATTATAAGACTTCTTGGAGGAATATATTAGCGTGGTAGGTGTCTCTACTAGCTGGTATATCACTGTGTCTCTCAGTAACTATATGATAATAGTGTGTAATAACAAGTACTGTCATATCGTGTGAGCTGTACAGTACACCACAACGTGAACAACACATCACATGCTCCTACTAATTTCTTTTCAATATCAGCTTGGCACCATTGTCAAGGTAGCTCCTAAGTAAGTCATAAGCTTAATGGCAATAACAAATGATATCGAGTACTGTAGAGTATATTAACTTACTAAGATCAACATCCAGCATGACCAGTACCTTTACTTCTCTCAAATCCCGTGTAAAAAGCTATAACAGATTTCAATAATTACCTCCCAGAACCAAGATTTTGGGCTTCTCTGTTGCCATGTGTGATGAATTCGGTTATATGACGCTAGGGTAGTCTCTAAGGCAGAATATTCGTGGAGTTTGAGGAGGTAGCCGTAGCAGAGGAAACCGAACCTGCTGCTTCCTGCGACTCTGATAACAGCTTGCCATCCACGCCCTCTAAGGCTTATTTTATTCCTTATAATACATCAAATATTGCCTATTGATACTTTAAGGTGTATAAGATATTAAATTGAATATGAAAACGTGTATCAAAGTTTTAATGTGTCTATATTATTGGGTAAAATAACAGGTATAGGAATAAACAGACGACAAAGAGTTGCCCACTAGTTATTAATGTGGGGCGATAATTGGCGCTAAATTTAAAATATATTTAGAATAAGTTCATCTTTATCGCTATTACAAGAGAAAAGAATATCACAAGACTATTTTTGTTACGATAAAAAATGTGAAAAAAATTGTTAAGATCATTATTTTTTAGATGTATTTGCAAATGAATAATGATAAACCCATGATGATGAATTAACTAATGTACTTAATCTCTTATTTCACTTTTTACGTATTCAACCCCTAAATCTTTCATCCTAAATACAGAAAACATCCACAATTCATAAAACAGAATTTATACAGTCAAAATTCATTGTCTACCTGACTATCATGTGATATTTAGTTGAGTTCGTGTCCTGTACAGTACTAGCGCCATGATGGAGTGTGAATGACAGTCATGGATGAACAATGAGTAGCGGATACAGCAACAGATAACACTTCACCCCAACTATAAGTGGTAAGATTGAATACTTAGGCTCTCGTTCTATGAGATAACTGACTGGTTGAACGAAACATAGAGACAATATTAGGTGCCACTATAGTATGCGGTCTACCGAGCTGGTGCTACTATAGTGTCTACCAAGCTGGTGCCACTATAGTATGCGGTCTACCAAGCTGGTGCCACTATAGTATGCGGTCTACCAAGCTGGTGCCACTATAGTATGCGGTCTACCGTGCTGGTGCTACAATAGTATGCGGTCTACCGTGCTGGTATTATAGTATGCGGTCTACTGAGCTGGAGTTGGTCTACCGGAATATTTACATTAGCGTCTACTAACCCAACCTAACTTAATCTAATATATATTAACCTAACTTAACCTACCCTAACCTAACCTAGTTTAGGTTAGGTTAGATTAATGGATGCTACAGTGTAAATATCCCGGTAGACACAACTCCAGCTCGGTAGACCGCATACTACAGTAGCACCCAATATTGACTGGCTAGTAAGCTGATTAAAATTTAGACTGTCCACACCACTCCAATGATAAATTAATAATTAGTAATATAAATAATATTTATTCAGTTAAGTTATCATACAGGTTCATTATTGTATGTACATGTTCATAAACTATGTAGTTATACAGTTCGCGGTGCACGTAGGCAGTGGAAGTATACGACGCACAGTATCCTGTGTGCCTAGGAAACCAACAGTTTTATCTCACATTTTTTCAAGTGTTGCTTGAATAGTGTAATTCTTAACCTTGTTACGTGCTTAAAGAACTTTAGTAGTTAGTTGAAGCGCTGTAATAACATCATAACAATAACTGTGTGCCGAGACAGTGCAGGTAAATGACAATGGCAAACAGTGAAGCAACTTGACCAAGGATAGCCAACAAAGCTGTCAGGTGCTTAAAATAGTTTACCCTTGAACACTCTATGTAAATCGCCCTTGAACTAAAGATGAAATGTACTGTACTAGCTTGTTAATGTATGGTGAGCATTCGATACGCAATCTCGTCTCGTGAGAAGTACCAAAAAACCTATAGTGTTGCAAGTTTCCCAGACTCAAACCTATAAAATGGTAACTTTTCCTAACTAAAAGTTATATCTTGGCAACTTTCCCTGTGTCCTTTGTTATTGCAACTTTCTTTAAGGTCTCGGTAACTTTCCCTCACTAAAACCTATATTCTGGTTACTTTCTCTAACTAACAACTATACTCTGGTAACTTTCTCTAACTAAAACCCATATTCTAATAACTCTTCCTAACTAAAACCTCTATTCTGGTAACTTTAACTAACAGCTATAATCTGGTAACTTTCCCTAATTAAGGTTTTTATTTGGGCAATTTTCCCTACGTCCCTTCAGGTCACAACCATCTATCAACAATAAATAATGCCACAGAATAATTACACAATTCAAAAGACAAGCGGTATTGGGCAGGTGTAACTAAAGAACTTCTGAAATATAATCGGCTTCAGGACCATTCATAAATGACTTTACTTTACCCTCCTCACCACTTGTCAGCTTGCTAACAACTGGAAGGAAGAGAGGTAAATTTTTGTTTCACACTGTTGACAAGAATTGGACATGTATGGCAGGGGCGGATCTGATTAATGTCATGCGCACTTGATATTAAGGGATATTCTGAAGTCAATGGTAAATACATTTTACTTTACAATAATGCCTGAGTACAATACTGCATTAAAGAAAAACTACTGGAATTTTCTGATGAAAAGGGGGGTCTGGACCCCCAGGATCCCCCCCTCCCTGGATCCGCCCTTGTATGGGCTCTCCGTTACACACTGTTGGCAGGCACTGTATATGTAGGCCTAAGGCATCATCATAATGGCTAAGAGAAACCTCTACCACAGTGGTTCTCAACCTTGTTTGCCCCATGCACCCCTTTCACCATATGTCAGAATGTCATTCCCCCGTCCTTTCCAAGATTGTCTGCCTCAAAAAGTGCATTCCAAATAATATGCATATAATACTGAAAATCCTTTATTTTTTCCATATTAGTATCAGTTCCCCCCCCCCTGAAAACCTGAGGGGGAAAATTCCCCCCTGGTTGAGAACCCCTGCTCTACCACTTAATGGGTTATTGGGTCGCTAATCGAATGTGTATACTTAAGTAAGGGATTTAAAGATGGGCTTTGGAGCCAAAACGGCATATCCCTTCCTCCCACAAAAGGGGTGTATTTCTCTCCCTCTGTTCGTCAGCAGCCCTACATTGTATCATAAGATTTGTGTACATGGATATTCGTGAATCTTTTGAATTTGAGGTCACCTGAAGATTAGACACCTTGTTTTTATCTGAAGATTAATCACCCTAACACTAACCTAATCCATACTAACCAAACCTAACATAACCCACAAGAAGTGTTAGGGTGGTTAATCTTCAGGTGAAATAAGCTGGGATGTCTAATGTTCAGGTGATCTAAATTTTGTTGCAAGTTTTTATAGGGAGACTGAAGCAGGTGTTAGAGTGTGTCAGGAGAGGAGTGTGTCAAGAGAGGAACTGGTTTACGGTGAGAGATGAACTCTTTCACTTAGGTCTTAGGTCGTGGATAGTAAGTGTGAAAGCTTGGGAGACACTCACAAGTACAGTACGTTTGGGTCACAGGGATAAGAGATGTCAATAGAAAGCGAATTAACTGTTTTTTTATACACGCCGAATAATAGTAAATGTGTCTAGAAATGCTCGTAACAGGAAATAATTATCTTTGAATGTAAACAAAAATTAAGTAGAAAAGGTAGATACGTAAAGGCAGTGGAAAGTGAGCCAACCTTTGTTTATATATAGCGTATATTGTCCAGGAGAATAGTTCCAAATATTAATGAATGAGTTTGAAAGAGCGTATAGAAGGGATAAATTATCTGAGAATATAAATAAAAATAAAAATTGATGTAAGTAAGTGGTAAATGAAGATACAGGGATAGTGAAAGTTGTTTTGTGTGGATACAGAATAAAGGAAGTATAATTTATTGTTGATGGCTATAGTATTTGCTAACATCAAATACGCGCTTCAAGACCTTAGTTATTAAAGCACAGTAATACATTATGACAAAAACTGTAAAGTGGTCAAAATGAAGAAAATAACAAGCAAGAACAAAATAAGGAAGTGAGAGGGTTGTCGGACTGGCAGATGAATAGGTTTGTGGAATAGATAGGTAGAATGGACAGGTGGAATGAACAGAGCGAGAGAATGGAAAGCGAAACAAGATAAATGAGTGTGTAACTGAAAAGAGGATGGGAGGATACGGAGGATAAGGAGAGAGAGAGATGGGGGGGGTGGGGTGGGGTGGAAGGATGGAGGGTGATAAGTGAAAAGTGAAAGGCAGGATAGAGTGGGGAAGGCCGAGAAAGAGATGGGAGGATGGAGTGAGGGAAGGTAACACACGAATGGTACAGTAGCTGAGGACAAATGTATGTATGTATGTATGTATGTATGTATGTATGTATGTATGTATGTATGTATGTATGTATGTATGTGCGTTGAACGGTAGGGGAGGGGCTAATATCCTGAGTTTGCTCTCACATTTTTACACCTGTAGACAGAAAGATGGATATTCAGTCAAATCACCCTACAAGTTTACAGTTGGTTCCGTATGTATATAAACAATGCAGGTATACGGTTGAACAAGTATATAGACAAAGTAGACATACAGTTCAGCCTGTGTGTAGACAATGCAGGTTCATGGTGCACATAGAACCATGCTTTTTAACTCGCTTAAAAAACACAAAGGAATAAAAGTGACAAATTATTGCTCATTGACGCCCTTTTTTAGAAACTCAATGGTGTATTTAGCAGTGAAAATCTGGTAGTGACCTCTTAAAGACTAGTGGTAGAGCTGCCCCTGGAGAAGACCTCTGTATCCGACCAAGTGTGCGTGTGTGTGGGAACGTGACGCCAGGGGCCACGGTTCTTGCTCTACGTTGTCATCTCAATATTTCAGGCTCGGGCGTTGAGTGGAGGTATCGGCAGACCTGTAGGCTCTAGCCCGTGTTGCTTTATTCACAAAAGAGAAATGTTATGTGAAAGAAAGATGTGAATGGGTATTACGAAGTCTTCATATCCTCGACTGATCATATTTTTTTTCTAACAAGTACAGTATATCTCACAAACCATTGCCTGTATTGCGATGAAACTTTGTAAAACAGTAAGAGTGAAGAGAACTGGTCCATACATCTTTTAAACTAACTAGTTTATTGACCAACTGGGGTCAAACGTCATTTTAATGTTAAAACTTGTTATGGCTGTTCCTGCAGAACCTACACCTGGGTTACAATTAATACATTCTAAATCATCATATATATAATGTTTGTGGTGAGATTAACCCTATTTGTTATCTATATTAGGAAAAGTTAAAAAA